CCTGGATTCAACCTTGTTTGATTGTGACACCTGCTCTCTTTTTATTTGCATTTTCCTGATTCTACTATTGCCCATCTTTTATTGTCAACATTCATATGTAAACAGCACAGAGTTAGGTTTTGCTTTGTGATCCAACCTGCCAATCTTTTTCATTTAATAGGTGTTAAGCTCATTTACATTTTGACATGAGAGGTATGTCTGAGCATAGATCTGCCACATTATCTTATGTCACATTTTCTCCTCTCAACCTTTTTTTTAAAGCCCACAAAATGATATTTGCTTTGTTTTATGTATGTCACTTCTGTTAATTTGGAAGGCTTATATTGTTCTAATGGGATGATTTTATAATGTGCTTAATCCTCATTTTCCTTGGACAATGTCTATAATTCCATACTATGATCAATAAATGATAAAAAGGCCGAAACTGGTTTGGCTCAGTGGATGGAGTGTCAGCCTTCGGACTGAAAGGTCCCAGGTTCGATTCCAGTCAAGGGCATGTATCTTGGTTGTGGGCATCCCCAGTAGGGGGTGTGCAAGAGGCAGCTGGTTGATGTTTCTCATCGACTTTTCTAGCTCTCTCTCTCTCTCCCTTCCTCTCTGTAAAAAATCAATAAAATATATTAAAAACAAAACAAAAAAATGACTCTCATCATTAATGTATGTGTGTGTGTGTGTGTGTGTATATATATATATATATATATATATATAGCCAAACATTTTTCCCCTTCACTCTGGGGTCAGGAAAAAAAGGGGAGAAAGCACATGACATCCTCCCAATACTGTTGGATCAATTTTTGGTTGAATCTGTGTTCTCTACTCTATACTTCAGTCCATTCCTGATAACCATAGTCCTAATTTCTTTGTTCATAATTCTCCTGCTTCCCTTTGATTGCATATTTATGTTTGAGTTGTCTTTAACTTATATTGCTATAAGTAATATATTCCTAAGTTTCATTCACATTGCTGAAAAGTTCACTTATTTTGTATAATATTCCATTCTGACTATACCACAGTTTATTTATCCCCTCCCCTGTCAGTGGGCATTTGGGTCATGTCCAGGATTTTCGGGGGGAGAGTGCTGCGAGGATCATTCACGAACATCTCTCCTGTTGTGCATGTACAGGAATCTCTCTTGGACATATACTGAAGAGTGCAATTTCTGTGTCACAGTTAGAAACTACAAGTTTGCAAATAGGTCCATACTGGTTTTCAAGGAACAAATTAACCTCTGTATGAAAATAAAGTTTAGGAACAATTAAAGTTAAACATCTATAAATATTATTTAAAGCTTCATTTATGCTATTCTGGTCATCTGATATCTGCATCTTCCCTACCTAGTTAAATTTTGTACTTCAAGTTTCAGCTTACAATTCACTGCCCCCATTTAGCCTTTTCTATTTAACCTACTTGACACTGTTGATTTTCCTCAGTAAATGTATAAGCGATACTAGCCCAGCATTTCATTGCTTTTACAGTACCCTGCCATTCTTTAGGTCACTATATTACCTTTATTTTCATCCTAGCACATGCCTGTAACTTAAAATTTGAATGACATGCTCTGGCCAGTGTGGCTTACTTGGCTGAGCACTGTCCCATGCACTGAAGGGTCACTGCTTCGATTTCTGGCCAGGGCATATGTCAGGGCTGTGGCTTCAATACCCAGTAGGGGGTGTGCAGGAGGCAGCCAATTGATGTCTTTCTCTCTCCCCTCTCTAAAATCAATAAAAAACATGTATTGTATTTATATATTTATTTTTTAAATGTATTAATGATTTTAGAGAGGAAGGGAGAGGGAGAGAGAGAGAGAAACATCAATGATGAGAGAGAATCATTGATTGACTGCCTCCTGCACACTCCCTTTTGGGGATCAAACCCACAACCCAGGCATGTGCCCTTGACCAGAATCAAACCTGGGACCCTTCAGTTCTCAGGCTGATGCTCTATCCATTGAGCCAAACCAGCTAGGGCTATTTATTTTTTTAAAATATATTTTATTGATTTTTCACAGAGAGGAAGAGAGAGGGATAGAGAGTTAGAAACATCGATGAGGGAGAACCATCGATCAGCTGCTTCTTGCACACCCCCTACTGGGGATGTGCCCACAACCAAGGTACATGCCCTTGACCGAAATTGAACCCGGGACCTTTCAGTCCGCAGGCCGACTCTCTAACCATTGAGCCAAACCGGTCCCGGCTTATTGATTTTTTTATAGAGAGGAAGGGAGAGGGATAGAGAACTAGAAACATCGATGAGAGAGAAACATCGATCAGCTGCCTCCTGCACCCCTTTTACTGGGGATGTGCCCACAACCAAGGTACATGCCCTTGACCAGAATTGAACCTGGGACCCTTCAGTCCACAAGCCGACAATGTATCCACTGAGCCAACTCAGCTAGGGTCAAACATTTTTCCCCCTTCACGCTGGGGTCAGGAAAAAAAGAGGAGAAGGCACATGACATACCCAGGGTTCGCACTCACCACACTTAGAATATCATAATAAGAACCAAATAATAAACTTTAATTTTAATATGTTACAGAATAATTACTTTGAAGTACAAAAATAATTGTAGTTTTTTTGGGTTTTTTTTTTTTTTACATTTACAAGTAATATTTTCTGCAGACTATAAATACTACCTGGATGCTGTTAGGACTAGAGGCCAATGTGATCCTGCCACCGAGAACGGAGACCAGGGAGGGGGAAAACTTGCTCGACACCAGGAATCAGACCATAAAAGGAACTGAAACCATCCTGGAGACACCTGATCAAACACCTGCATTCCATCCGCATTCCAAGCCCACCCATTCAGTCCCCAAACCCACTGACTGCATATAAGGATGAAACTCCAGCTCCTGAGTGCTGCCATCATGGCCCCAGTGTCCCTTGGCTTGGTGCTGTGCAGGCCTTCCCTTGAGATATCCGCGCCCCCCCCCCCCCCCCCCCCCCGCCTCCAATCCCCCAACTCCTTTCCTTAAATAAATTCAGTTCTTCCTTATCCACCATCTGAGATGGCTATTTAGCCTGCCTGAGCACCACAACCATGCTAACCTTTCGGATGCTGGGTGCTGCACACGTTACACAGCATTCCTAGGCCTGGTGGACCTTCCTTTCTTCCCTTCTTTTCTCCTGGAGAAAAGCGGTTGTGCAAACCACGCTGCAGTCTTGAGGCCATGCCAAGACCTTTTAGAAGCAGCTATCCAGAATGGCGGAACTGGATGGTATCTTTCCTAAACTTGTCTTTACAGTTTTTGGTTTTTGTTCAATTCTACAGATTAAAAACTTTTTTTAAGAATTAGTTTAAAATTCTGGGAATTGCTATTTTTGGAATATCAGGTCCACACCCCCAAAAAAGACAGAAAAACGTAGGGAGAAGTATTAAATTCAACAAAAGCTCATTTAAAAGTACACCATCAGTGGAAAAGCTTTTCAAATATAGGGAATTTGAAAATAACAGCAATTAACTGGAAGGCGCATTTCATTGCCAAAAGCTACCAAAGGGTTTCTTCTTTTTTTTTTTCCCCCCACTATTACCTTTCTTAATCTTTTAAGAATAACAAGGAAGATTCTAAAAATTATAGCAGGTTTTGCCCAGATCTGACGCACTTGGATGCTGAGAACCAATTATTGAAAAAGTAGGAACAACGTATTGAGGAAACAGAGAAGTTTTAGCATATGAAAAAGGATGTAACTTTGCTTTCTAAAATTCAGTTATTCAGGCCAGTTTCTTTTGATTTGTGCTCTGAACTGCTTAGATCTGGGTCTAAGATAAAAGACAAGAAAACCGGTCATCTTCCTGAGTAGAGCTGAAAGAAGCTTTGCAACTGTTCAGAAGTATCTGAGGTTTTGGATCATCTCTCCTTAGCTGCTTTGACTCCCTCCATGGTCCCATCTCTAGTCTATACACCTTCTTCATCCATAGAGATGGCTCTGCACTTTCTACAGCTGTAATACGGGGTGCCTTAAACTCAAAGAAAAAAATATGGTGTAGAAACAAAGGTGATCTGGTATATAAAAACATGCAGGTCTATTTTCTGAAAATAGCTTGTGAGCGTAAGAATGCTCAGTTGTATAATAGGATTATGTTGAGAAAGCTCAGAAACATGGGGCTGGGATATTACTTAGGATAGAGCCCAGCCATTAGGAAATCCCTCATAGGGCTCTACACACCCATGTTCTACATCATTACATTAATGCATGGCCATAATGCACACACATAGCCTTTGCAGCCCTACTTTCAAAATTGATGTTTATTCAGCAAGACACATGAAGGGAAAACCTAACCTGTTTTGTTACCTAAAATATAATGAAGAAATGACAAATGAGAGTTTCTTAAATGTACCACACAGATGTTTTTCATAGTACTCACCTTTTAAAAAACTGCAATGTTACTCCACTGTGACATGTTATTATCAAGAATTCAGTTACTGAAGATTAACTCCTAAGCCTATTATCTATTAATGAACGGGCAGCTTGGGTAAAGGTTCTTACTGACATTCTTAGAATCATATAGTTATTTATAACTTCTGTTCTCCCCAGATTCAGAGACGCATTACAAAATTCTTTATGGAATTCCCTAGTAACAAGGGATAGTGTACAGAGATGGCTAAAAATAAAATAATAGAATGATGGTGACTCTTGAGCACTAATGACATGTGTTATTGCAGCTTGGAGAAAACACCATAGAATGTTAATGTAAGAACAAAGTTATGCTGTTCTCCTTAAAGTCAGTAAATTACATGACCATATTCTGAGTATTTTTGGAAGAAAGGCACTGGATAAGTTCTAAGTCTTATTGCTGGTCAGATCGCACAGGGCCACAGCACAGACTATGGCACTAGTTTAGCCTGGAGGCAAGTCTAAGCAGTCACTGGTCTTGTGGCTTGAAGAACAAGGAAGGAAAACGTCAATAAAATAGAATCCTGCATCTTACATTAAACTCAAGGAAAATAATTCCCCATTTCCTGTCAAGGCAGTGACTGGTTCCCTAGGCCTCCGGGGGGATGTCACACAGGCACCCTGTTCTCTTTGGCCCATTTCTTCATGATCCGGATGATGTACTCTACTTGGGTGTTACCTGTGCTTCTCAATAGATGGAGCACTTCTCGAAGGGTCTCTCTGAGGAAAGAATTTGAAAGGACAAAGTGTTTTAATAGAGAATGAATACTAACAGGTAAGATAAACTCTTAACTGTTCTTCATATAATTCTAGTAGGGCATTTCTGGTAACAGACTCTTTCTCTATATATTCATAAACCAATTACAAACTTCCTAGCGTTCTATCTTATGGTGGCATAGTAAAAGGAAAATCCTATTCACCAACCTTTTCACCAACCCAAGTTTTCACCAACCCAAGATTTCCTTGTTTACTTATACTATCTATACACATGTATTAATCTTTTGTCTTAATAAGACACAAGTATTTCCATTTTTGTGCTTATCCTGCATGACAGAGTAGAAAGGGGACATATCAATGAGCTGGGGGCGGACTTGGGTTCCACTTCTAGCTCCTTCATAACAAGTTACTTAACTTGTCTGAGTCCCAGATTTCTCTTTGGTTAAGGTGACAATTATCATAAACTGGGTATCACAGCCATATTTGCGAAATTTTACAAAGCCAGAGGAATGGATGATTTCCTCAAGAAAAATAACATATTAAAAATACGAAAAAGAAAAAAGTTAAAAACCAAGAGTTAGCAAATGCACAGTATTTATGTTTTAAGTAATTTAAATTTAATTATAATCATAATTAGTGTTTTAACTAATGCATACTAAAACTTCCCTACTACCTTATCAAATCTACAGGCAACTGCATATTGATCCTCTCCCCTAAGAGTTCTCTTATATTGTTGACTTATTTTTCCCTCTCAAACAACCTCTTTTACTTAACCAAATTCTTCGAAACTTTTATTTAGGACTGGAAGTAGATACAAAGCGGGAAGTAATTTCTGAAAGACTGTTTACTTATAAAATAATCACACCTCCTATTCATACATCAGTAACAAATACAGTCCATGAAGTTATTTTTAGAACACTGAATTTTATTTTAAGCATTTCAATTTTTGTTACAAATGGAGCTACAAGCCACTTAATTTTATTTAATCTAATGTCTTAGTATTTTCTGGAATATTAGAGGCAAATGAAGAAAAAATTATTATTATTATTATTATTTTTTTTTTTTAAGGTGTAAATTTTGTTTTATATACATATATTATTGATTTCAGAGGCAGGGAGAGAGAGAGATAAACACATCAACAATGAGATAGAATCATTGATCACCTGCTTCCAAATTCTTCCCACTTGAGCACGTGCCCTTGACTGGAATTGAACCCCAGACCCATCAGTCCTCAGGCTGACACTCTTGCCACTTAGGCAAGGCAGCCAAAACCGCTTCATAATCCTTAATAATACCAGAAGGACCTGGATCTGATTGGCAATCACTACAGTCACAATCAATTATTGACTCAAGGAAAAAATTATTAACCACATCTACTGCATTCCTAATTCTTTGAGGCCTAAACTAAAAGACAAGAAAAAGCTAACAGGCAAAGAAAATATAGAAGAGATTGAAGAAGACTTTGTTTATGCAATGGCAATTCATTTAGAGGCAAATATTTATCTTGCTCTTATATTTGAGAGCTGTAGTATGTTCGATGTCCCCAATATTAGAATTTAAAATGATCTGATTCTACAAAATTTTGGGGAGGAAAAAGGTCAAATACAAATATATAACATCAAAAAGTTTTTTTATTCATCACTCTAAAATATTTTATAATTTTGAGTTTTCAGAAGAGGATGCCATCATGAAAACAATTCTTTTCCCTCACAAACCAGCGAGTGAGTAGAGGCAGTGTTTGTTGTCTGTGCACTTACTTGGGTTCTCGCCCAGCTAAGATCATCTGGAAAATGCCCACACAGGCCCCCCTCTTGCCTTCCCAATATTCAGGGTTAGGATCCAGCCTCTCTAGGACATCAAAAGCTTTGGCTGAATAGTAAAACTGGCCCATCTGAATAAAAGAAAGAATTGTGCTAATACCTGTAGTCACAAGATTACACAGAATGAAACTAAACATAAAGATGCCCTGAAGCAGGATGGTATAAAATAAGTGCATGGGTAATGACAAAATTTTCTGTTAGAAAATTAGATAAATTTTAATTCTTTATTAAACCAAGAAAGAAGAAAATCAGTTTGCACACATGGGTTCAATTTAAATTAGTTTACCTTCATTCAGTTTTCAACAATATATATTTTATATATATAGTCGTTATTATATAAGCAACACATCTGTCATTTCTTCTAATTATATTCTAATCTTGAGAATAAATTCCAACAATGTGATTTGAACCGAATATTTTTCATGTCTTCTCATTCTGTAGGGATTACTATCATTCCTTTTATGCTAGTTTTATCATGTTCAAACCAAGAGGATGTTTTTTCCCTGACCTGGTCTAAATTCTCAGTTTGCTTTGATGTATACTGAATACTACTCTGAAACACCAACTCTTTAGAATGTTTAATTTATTTTCACATATATATTTCCTTGGAAACGTTGAATAACATTAAATTTTGCTTAGATGAGTTTACTTGACTAGCAATCAAAAACATACGGTGTTATGTAAAAATTTCACTGAAGGCTTCAAATTGTTGAGTAATCCTTTAGCCAGTGTGGCTTAGTTACTTCACCATTACTATAAACTGTTGTCATAAACATTTACCAATTTCTTGAAGAGCTCTATTGCATTCTTAGCATAGCTTTTTCTCTACTTCAGGGAAAACACAACTTTCCTCCCTTCAGTTTAAATTATATCTTCATTCATCCTTCCCTCTTTTCTCTATCTCACAGGGAGAAGTGTTCTTTTATTTTAAGAGAGTGGAGGCGGGGAGAGACAGAGACAGAGAAATATCCATGTGAAAGAAACATTGGTTGCCTCCTGCACACACCCTGATAGGGGCCAGGATTGAGCCTGCAAACCGAGGCACTTGACCTTGATCAGAATCAAACCCGCAGCCCTTCAGTCCACGGGCTGAGGCTCTATCCACTGAGCAAAACTAGTTAGGGCAAGAAGTGTTCCTATTCCTTTTCAGTTAACCCTTCTTTCTATGTCCTCTTAAGCACTTTTCTGGATGAAATAACACACACAGAGAATGGTACATGCTACATAAAAATACAGTTTAATGTCTGATTATAAGGTGAATACAAGTGTAACCACTACGCAGGTCAAGAAAGGAAACATTGACAGCAAAACAGAAGCTCTTTGTGTCCCTTCCAAACCACAACCTTATCCTTCCTTCCGAATTAACTACTATTCCAACATCTATGGTCATCAGTCTTTTGACTTTCTTTATAAGCACCTATTTGTATATCTTTAGATAATATAATTGAGTTTTGCACTCAGAATTTTATCTATATAAAATAATACTATAAATACTATTGTGTCTTGTGTATATTTATAAGATTCACCTATATTGATGGATATAACTCTAATTGTTTTTTTAAAAATAATTCTTTATTGTTGAAAGTATTTCATATGTCCCCCCCCCCCCACATTGATCCGCCCTCCAGCCCACCTCCGCCCTTTATAAAAAAAACATATATTTTTATTGATTTCAAAGAGGAAGGGAAAGGTAGAAAAAGAGAAACATAATGATAAGAGAGAATCATTGATCAGCTGCCTCCTGCACACACCACACTGGGGATCGAGCCCACAACCCAAGCATGTGCCCTTGACTGGAATAGAACCTGGGACCCTTCAATCCATAGGCCAACACTCTATCCATTGAGCCAAACTAGCTAAGGCTAGTTGGCTTATTTTATTTTTTAAACAAGGATGTGTTGTTTTGTGTGGACGAGAGAGGGAGAGAGAGAATCATCAATGAGGAGTGAGACTCACTGATCCACTGCTTCCTGCATGCCCTTATTGGGGATTGAGCTCCTAACCAGGGCATGTGCCCTTGACTGGAATCAAACCTGGGATCCTTCAGTCCACAGGCTGATGCTCTAGCTACTGAGTTAAACCAGCCAGGGCTAGTTGGTTTAATTTTTTTTTTTAAAGTTTTAATTTTGGCCCTAGCTGGTTTGGCTCACTGGATAGAGAATCAGCCTGTGGACTGAAGAGTCTGGGTTCAATTCCGGTGAGGGCAAATGCCTGGGTTGTGGGCTTAATCCACGGAGGGGGGCATGCAGGAGGCAGCCAATTGATGATTCTCTCTCATTATTGATGTTTCTATCTCTCTCCCTCTTCTTTCCTATCTGAAATAAATAATAATGATAATAATAAACTTTTAATTTTGAATTATAGATTTACAGGAAGTTGCAAAGATAGTAGAGAGATCTCATGTATCTTTCACCCAATTCCCCCATCCTGCCCCACCTAACAGCTTATATATCAATAGTACAATATCACAATATCAAAACCAGAAAATGCAAGTTCTACAATATATATATAGTTCTGTTATTTTAACAAATGCATAGATTAATATACCACCACCACTATCAAGATACACAACTGTTCCATCACCACAAAGATCTTCCTTGTGCTAACCTTTTATAATCACATGCATTCCCCACCCTGTTCACCATCCTAACTCCTGGCAATTATTAATTTTTTCTATATTTCTATAATTTTCAAGAATGTTAGCTTATGGCTAGATAGTTCAGTTGGTTAGAGCGTCATCCTGATATGCCAAGGTTATGGGATCAATCCCTGTTCAGAACACATACTAGAAGCAACTAATGAATGCATAAATGATTGCAGGAGTAAGTCAGTGTTTTTCTCCTTTGCCTTTCCCTCTGCTCCCTTCTTCCTGCCTATCCCCCTCTGTAAAAAATCAATAAAAATTACCCTGGCCAGTATGCCTCAGTTGGTTGGAGCATTGTCCAAGGGCACCAAGGGGTCACAGGTTTGATTCTAGGCCAGGTTATATTCCCAGATTGCAGGTTTGATCCCTTGTCGGAGGGAAGGGGAAAGGCATATAGAACCCATGTTTCTCACTCACATAGATGTTTCTCTTTCTCTCCCTCTCCCATTCTTTCTGTCTGGAATCAATGAAAAAATATCGGGGGGGGGGACAGAAGGGGGTATTCCTAGGTGAGGATTTAAATAAATAAATAAATAAATAAATAGCCGAAACCGATTTGGCTCAGTGGATAGAGTGTTGCAGACTGAAAGGTCCCGGGTTTGATTCTGGTCGAGGGCATGTACCTTGGTTGCGGGCACATCCCCAGCAGGGGGAGTGCAAGAGGCAGCTGATCAATGATTCTCTCTTGTCGGTTTCTAACTCTCTATCCCTCTCTTCCTCTCTGTAAAAAGTTAATAAAATATATATTTTTTAAAAATAAGTAAATAAGTAAGATTTAAAGACTGTTATCTATACACATAAAGAGGTAATCTTTATATGTATAAAGATTACAGTGACCCAGTCAGGATCAACCTGTGGGCGGGGAAGGGAACGGGGACGGGGGACTGCTGCCCCCAGTGCTAATGTCATGCTGCGTGTGTGCATCCCTGCCCAGCACTGAGGTGAAGGTGCCTGCTGCATGTGTCCCCATTCAGAATTGACATGTCGTTGTGTGTGTGTGTGTGTGGGGGGGCTGTGCTTGATGGGGGACCTCAGGCCATTCCCCTCATCTGGTGGGGCTTGATGGGGGACCTCAGACTGCGCACCCCCCCTGCCCCAGTGCCAGGCCGGGAAACCTCAGGCTGCGTCCCCCACATGGCAGGGCTTGACAGAGGATTCCAGGCCACGCCCTCCACCCCAGGGCTGGACCTGGGGACCTGAGGCTGCGCCCTTCTTGGAGGAGCTTGTTGGGGTGGGGCTGGCCAGGTCTGGGTCTCCTGCGTTTTGGAAGTGCGTGTGGGTGGTGGGCGGGGACTCGACTCTAGGTCCTGCAGTGGGCCCCAGACTCTGACAGGAGGGAGATTTTCATATACAGTTTACTAATTTTCTTTCATTTCTCACTTCTATTATAGAGAAAGGGCAAAAAGCAATATTAAAATATTTCCTATAATTAATTCCCTTTTAATGTGCATGAATTTTGTGCACCAGGCCACTAGTAGTTATATAAAACAGCAATACACCAAAGCCGGTTTGGCTCAGCGGTAGAGCGTTGGTCTGCGGACTGAAAGGTCCCAGGTTCGATTCCGGTTAAGGACATATACATTGGCTGCGGGCACATCCCCGGTGTGGGGTATGCAAGAGGCGGCTGGTCGATGTTTCTCTCTCATCGATGTTTCTAACTCTCTCCATCTCCCTTCCTCTCTGTAAAAAATCAATAAAATATATTTAAAAAATAAAAATAAATAAAACAGCAATATGAGATTCTTTGAGATTGGCTTTTTTCATTCAGTATAATGTCCTTGTTTTTCCAAGTTACTGCATGCATGATAGTTTGTTCCTGTTATATAACCCTGCAAAAGAGAAAGGACCTGCACCCAAAGTTTGGTTTAGATGTCAAGAATGATAATAGAGCCAGTTTGGCTCAGTAGATAGGGCGTCAACTTGTGGATTGAAGTGTCCCGGGTTCAAAATTCCCGTTAAGGGCACATGCCCAGGTTGTAGGCTTGTTCCCCATAGGATACATGCAGGAGGCAGCCAATCAATTATTCTCTCTCATCACTGTCCTCCCTTTCCCTTCCTCTATGAAATCAATGAAGATATATTTAAAAGAAAAAGAAAAAAAGAATAATGATGCTACACACACACCAAGAGGTTATGGAATGTTTTTTTACTCATATAATTGAGGTGTCTGAAGAGAGTCTGGCAGATCTCTCAAGCATGTCCAAACTGGCCTGAGAGCAAGCATTTGTGAGTAGGTATTTATGTGGATATTGGTTTTCATTTCCTGGGATAAAAAACTGCCTATTATACTGTGATATATTTTTTCCATCCTTTAATTTTCATCCCCCTATATCAGTGGTCTGCAAACAGATTTGTCCACAGAGCCAAATATCAACAGTACAATGATTAAAATTTCTTTTGAAGCCAAATTTTTTAAACTTAAACTTCTTCTAACACCACTTCTTCAAAACAGACTCACCCAGGCCATGGTATTTTGTGGACGAGCCACACTCAAGGGGCCAAAGAGCAGCATGTGGCTCGCAAGCCGCAGTTTGCCAACCAGGACCCTATATCATAATATTTAAAATGAGTTTCTTATAGAGAGTTGGGTCATTTTTTTTTAAATCTACTCTGTCAATTCTGTCTTTTAATTATTATATTTAGATCATATACATTTAATGCAATTATTGATATGTTAGACTGAAACTCTGCCTTTTCCCCCTGTTGGTCCCTTGTTTTCAGTAATAAGGACATCTTGTACACTTCTCTGCAGTTTTCAGCTGGAGAGAGACATGCTGTGTAATCTTCACAGAGGGAAGACAAGAAAATGAGTGCTTGACCTCTCTAGTCTTTGCATTTACATACATGTATTTCCCTCCTCTTCCTGCCTTGTAATAAAGCTTAGCTATAAGTATAACCTTATGTTGAGTCATATGAGTCCTTCCAGTGAATCACCAAACTAGTGGGTAGTTGTGGACCAATGAGACACTAGGTAATGCCAAATTGTTTTTCTTTTTGTTGTTAATCCTAAGTGGAGGATTTTTTCCATTGATTTTTAGAAAGAGTGAAAAGGAGGGAGGAAAAGGGAGGGAGGGAAGGAGGGAGGAAGAGAGAGAGAAACATCAACCTTTCGGTGCACAGGCCAAGGCTCTATCCACTGGGCAACTTTTTCCAAATCATTATCTTCCTTTCATCTTAACCCATCCCCTTTTCATCTTCAACAGGGCCTCACTCCATTAAAAATGCCGCCACTCTCTTGAAACTTTAATCTTCCTGTTCAATGGCTCTTCTTCCTCTACCTAAAGACATACTCTTACCCCCTATTCTAAAAAAAAAAAAACTCCCTCTCCACCAGCCAAAATAACGCCCCCCCCCCCCCAGCAAAATCCCTAACCTGTTTCCCCTTTTAAGTTAGCTTCACATTTCTCCTTATCCTCAGCATCAGATTTTTAAAGACTGTGGTCCACAATAAGCTTACGGCATCTGCTTTCTAATTCTCTTCTCTTTTCTACCTACTGCTGTTTCTCAGGCCTCATGCAACTCCATCTACATGCAGATTTGACTTTTTTCTCCTTTCTTTGGTTTTTGACAACATAGGAATGGGGTGGGGGGGAAACAGTAGAAAGCACTTTTTCTCTCTTCTGTTTCCCCCACACACACCTTTCGGTTTACCTTCATCCTCTCTCTTTCACTGACTCTTCTATTTCTGTCCCATAAACACATGGTTTCTCAAAACACTCCCCAGTTAACCTCTCTCCCCCATACTCTGCTGCTGCCGCTCCCAGCATCACCACCATTACTGCTGTTAACTTCTAAAACTGGTCTCTAATCCTGATCTCTCACATGAACACCAGAACTTAAGGCTCACCCTAGTAAGTTTCCACATGTAATATCTCTGCCCCAAACACACGTCAGATTTAATATATCTAAAACTGAACTAAATTCTCATCCTTTTATTTATTTATTTATTTTTATTTTTTTATTAAGGTATTATATGTGTACATATTTTACCATTGCCCCCACACCCCTAAATTCTCATCTTTTGATTTTTTTTTCCCCTCTGCCTCCCCTAACTCACTTAACATCAATACCATCCACCAAGTCATGTTAAACAATTTCAAGTTTTCTGTTTCATAACCTTTTTTATTGATGGCGACTCACTTAATTTTTGTAATGATTCTTTTTTTTAAAAATTTGATTTCAGAGAGAGGGAGGGAGGTAGGGAGGGATAGAAACATCAATGATGGGAGAGAATCATTGATCATCTGCCTCCTGCATGCCCCCTACTGGGTTCAAGACCACAACCCAGGAATATACCCTGACTGGGAATGGAACTGCAACCTCTTGGTCCATAGGTTGATGCTCAACCATTGAGCCACACCAGCCAGGCTGTAATGATTCATTTTGACTAACACTAGACTCTCTTTACCTTTACCTGACATTTTCCTGTCTTTTGGATAAGCAGAAATATACCAAAAATAGGAATTTCTGGAATTTGAGGCTAATTTTTAAAAATGCTCTTAATTTTTAAAAAGCTCCCCCTGCTTTTCAAATCTCCTACACACACACACACACACACACACACACACACACACACACACACACACACCTTTACTAAGTGACTGTGTCTTCTTTTTCCTTTTCTGGTTCCTTTGTCTTTCCTGTCTACTATTTGCATATTAGTATTCCCTAACATTTGCAACCATTTACTTTACTTTACTTTTCTTTCTCACTTTACTTTCTTAACTGGGCAATTGTACTGTGTTTCAGGGTTTCAATTACTACTGAAATGTTGATTTCTCCAAATCTATGTCTCTAGATGTCCGAGGACATCTTTCTTAAGCTTCAAAACCAAATTTCCAAATTCCGGATGAATATCTGTATCTGGCTGCTATCTAAAGATTCACAGCCTTTGGAAATCTGAAACCTCCTCTCTAAATCATTATTTCATATACACATAAAAAACCTCATCATGCTATTTATCTCTGAATTCTGTTCATTCATAATAAAGGTGACATTTCTGATATTATTATGCAAATCCTCTCACCAATAGTTATTTAGTCTGTAGGACACTTTCCCTCAGCACACAGCTAATGCGGCAGTGTGAGGCTGACCTTCCATTTCCCTGCGTCCTCACTCAGACTCACCTTGTAGCAGTCATTAGCAATGAGCTGTAAGAGGCTAAATGACTCGCCGGAGGTTTCCATCTTGAGGTAAAGTTCCCAGGCCAGTCTTGGTTTCTTATTCATTATATCTACAAAAAGGAATCAAAGATTTATACTTTTTAAATGTAAAAGAAATATATCTCTACATCTTGCTATATTATGGATTTAGTTCTATGTTTCAACTACAAAAAGTAATGCTAAATAGTTCTTACATGAAAAGCTCACAATGTTGGCATTAAGTTGGTTCCCTATCTGAATTCTACAGTAAAAAATTCAATAAATTTTTTATTAAAGTTAGTATTCAGATAATTATGTCTTTTTAGGTTAGGTTGGATTCTAGTAGTTCCCACTCAGGTCATCTGCTTACAAGAGAACACCCATGATTCATTCAAATCTACTTATATATTTTCAGCTTCACTTAGAATATCTGACTGCTAAAATTTTCCTGCAACTTTAAATCTAGGTGAACAGAAGGAGCAAAAAAAGATAGTGAAAAGAGAGACAGAGAGACAGACAGACAGACAGACAGACAGACACTGTAAACTAAATAATATTTTAAAAATCATGTTTTCGACATTTTGCCCGATTTTAGTCCTGCATCATAGTGAAAAGATAAAATTAGCATAACAGTATTATTTCACACAATACAATACTATAAACTGAGACTCTGGAAACTTTAACAGGAAGAACCTGCCATCTTTCAGGGCTGGACATGCTAGGTTAATGCTACATGGCAGACCTAATCACACGGTAAAATTATATATGTGCATGGCCACCCTAACTGACCAGTATTAATAACACAGTTTTGGTGTTCACTTATTTTATCGCACAAAACAAAATTAGAAAATGCTCAGTATAATTTCCATCCAGAAGATTATATAGCAGGGAACAAAAAAATATTTTTTCCATAACATTTGAAAGAAGACTCATAGCCTAGCTGGCGTGACTGAGTAGTTGAGCGTTGACCTGTGAATCAGGAAATCAGAGATCCGATTCCTGGTCAGGGCACATGTCCAGTTTGCGGGCTCAATCCTCAGTGTGAGGCATGCAGAAGGCAGCCTATCAATGATTCCTTCTCATCATTGATGTTTTTACTCTTTCTCTCTCCCTTCCTCTCTGAAATCAATAAAAATATATTTAATAAAAAAAAGACTCACAGTATGATCATGGGGATATAAAGTACAGCATAGGGAATAAAGTCAATAATATTATAATAACTACATGTGGTATCATATAGGTACTAGATTTATCATGGTGATAACTTAATAACTGTAAGATATATAATGTCTAATCACTGTGGTATATACCAGAAACTAATATAATATTGTATGTCAACTGTAATCGAAAAATTAAAAAAATACAGTAAAAAAAAAAAAGACTCACAGCATCGAGCTAACCAACTGAGGTAAATGTAATCATTTTTTAACTTCTCACTTTGTATTAAAAGAAAAACCTGCAAGGAGAGGAAAGAAGGGGAATAAACATTAAAATGGTTTTGTAGTAAAAACATTCATATCTGTTTATCTTACATTAATGTTTAACATAGCCTTATAGATTACCAAATTCTAAACAGGCTGCTAAGATAATGAAGGACAAAATTGTGGCGATTTTAACATACTTCTCTGTTATTGATATCACAAGCTTACAAAAGGTTGAACAAAATAATTAACAATTGTATAATACATATTATTTTCAAGATGCATGACCATGCTACTGGGATTGACCATGCAATTTTAAAGGATTGGTGTTACATAGACTACATTCTGTGACCACAATACAATTAAATTAGAAATCAAAATTTAAAACCGGAGAAGGATAATACAAGCTTGAAAATCATGAAACATTTTAAAATAACTCAGTCTAAAAAGGAATCATAATGGAAATCAGTAGAATAATTCGTAAAAAAACGAAAGTCAATTGAATAATTCAACTGAATTATTTTGAATAATTTAAACAAATCACTTCTATGAAGTTAGAAGCAAGATCATTGTTAGCCTTATAGAAAAGAGATTGAGTCAAAGAGGGGATGAGGATGTTTCTAGGGTTATGATAATATTCTGTTTCATGATTTAGGTTATAGTTATTTGGTTCTATTCCCCTTAAAAAATCCATCAAGCTGTACACTGAGTGGCCAGATTATTATGATCTCTGAATATATAATAATCTGGCCACTCAGTGTAGACTGACCACAGAGTTGGGATTTTTAAAATACGGTTTTTCCATGTATGAGAACTGCATCGTGGGTAGTTAGAAAGGAGCAGAGGACTTACTATCTCCTGGTCCCTTGACATATCAAGATTTGCAAGCTTTCCCTTATACATAAATACACTGAGTGGCCAGATTATTATGTGTTCAGAGATCATAATAATCTGGCCACTCAGTGTATACTTTGATTTGTATACTTTTCTCCATGTATATTATGCTTTTATAAAATTTATCAAAAAAGGAAAACATTAATGTGGTCACAAAATCTATATATCTATTCACATTGTATTTTCTAATGTGACCTAAGAACAAAGAAACTTTTAATAGTCCTTTACCCTTGAATATTTTATCTCAGTGAGAAAAAGACAACATTTTAGACTGAATCACTCAAATGCCTTCCAAAGCAGGTACCCACCTCTTCACCCTCACTGGTATTGCCTGTTGTAGCTTTGGCCTGGGCATAATTAAAGTTAAAGATGTCATCATTATAGAAGTAACTCTGAAAAACATTCCAAGAACAGGTCACATTGAGTATTAACATATAAAATAGAAAAACATCAGCTATATAAAATAAACACAAAAATAAGCATAAGGAATTAGCTGATGCCACCATTAAAAAAAGAAGGCCATCTCTAAGAACATCTTCTCTCTGAGATATTATATATAGTATTTTGTATACAAAGTCATCTAAAAAATTCTATACTGACCTTAAATGAGTTGAGATAAATCAAGACATCTTCAAATTGCTTGAGCAGGAAAAAGCAGGAAGCCATGCACTGTCTCCCTGGTATTGTGTCTGAAATGGAACGGGAACAGATACCATGCCCACTCATGAAACTAAAAGGCATCTTTAGCAGAAACTTCAGTTATTTATAATTTAGAGATTGGAATGTATTACAAGACAGCTTTCTAGATTCTGAAATTATAGATTCTGTGTAGTGGACAAAATCTCTGCATAATGGAGATCACAGGACTTCAGAGTGACCAATAATCTCTCTCCGTGTTAATTCTGAGTTCAAAATGAATACATGCCCTGCAGGCTACAGTATTCTCCAGATCACTTTTTATTTTCTTGCTCAATTCTGACACCTTCACATATAACTAATGTGGCATGGTCTCCATTGCTACTCATCTAAGACAAGCTAGCCCTTTAAAAAAACAACAACATATATATATATATATGTGTGTGTGTGTGTGTGTGTGTGTGTGTGTGTGTGTATATATATATATATATATATATATATATATATATATATGTATAAAAAAGGAAGGGAGATATATAGCCATTGATGAGAGAGAATCATTGACCTGCAGCCTCCTGCATGCCTCACTGGGGATCGAGCCCAACACCTGAGGAATGTGCCCTTACAGGAAATTGAACTATGACCTCCTGGTTCATAGGTTGATGCTCAACCACTGAGCCACGCTGGCCAGGCAACTTTCAATCTCAAATGGAGAATAAATTTGCCATGGAACCACCTGATCCTGATCCTGACCCAACTGTCTGTCTGATATCATATTCCTATATGAGGCAGCAGATGTTTAGTGTAACCTCCAGGCTTGCCATTGGCACTCCCAATCCTTTTATTCTGTTTCTGCTCAATTTTCCCCATAGCAACTCATCATAGTCATATCTACACTAATAAAAGAGAAAAATGCTAATTGACAGTACCTTTGCTATGCCAACAGCCAATCAGAGTGAGTATGCAAATTAACCCACCAAAGATGACAGTTAATTTGCATATACTGATGGAGGGAGGAGTGAAGACTGAAGACAGTTTAGAAGGAAGAGGGAGGGCCGAGACCGGTTTGGCTCAATGGATAGAGCATCGGCTTGGGGACTGAAGGGACCCGGGTTCAATTCCGGTCAAGGGCATGTACCTTGGTTGCGGGCACATCCCCGGTGGGGGTGTGCAAGAGGCAGCTGGTCGATGTTACTCTCTCATCGATGTTTCTAGCTCTCTCTCTCTCTCTCTCCCTTCCTCTCTGTACAAAATCAATAAAATATATTTAAAAAAAAAAAAGAAGGAAGAGGGAGGAAAAGTGAAAAGTAAGGTGGCTGCTAGAGGGAAGGCGAGTGTGGGGTGGGTGGCAGCTGCAGCGGCAGCACGCATGGCCACAGCAGCTGCTTGCAGGAATCTTTCTGCAAAGGGGCTCCTACTATACTATATAATCTATTTATTTGTTATGTTTATAGTCTGTCACACTAGACTGTATGTTCCACAAAAGAAGGGGGCTTTTAATTTTGTTTACTGCTATATCCCAACGCCTCAATAAATTTTTGTAGTATGAATGAGTGAAATGGAGAAAGGAAATATTTGATAAATGGTTTTGGTGAAATATTTGGAAAAGAAATATCCAGGAGTGATAAAATATTTAACAACCAGTTCAGCATGAACACATCATCAGAATAGATGCTGGCCATATACACCTGGTAAGCCATACCAGTTCACACTGGTTATTGGCCCTTTTTATAGCTCTTCCTCAAGTCTTACACTAAATCTTGATTGATGAAATCAATACTTTAATAACAGAAACAAAGCCACAAAATGACTTGTGGGAATATGGGTGAATATTACATAACTGCAGGGGTCAAAGCACTGTCTAAGCTTGATACCCATGTTAGAATTCATTATGGAAAGGATAAACTTAGTTAAATAAGATTTAAATAATTTAATATAAGAAAAAATACAACAGGCAAAGTTAAAAGTCAAATGACTCACTAGGAAAAAATATCTACAAGAGCTCTTGAAAAATCAATTATAGTTATCATTTCAAATAATAAAAACAGAATAAAAAATTAAAAACTCATAAACTAAAGAATATATTTATTCTTCTCTATTTCTAAATTCTCTCATCCCACTCTAGCCGAAATGCTGAAAAGAGCTAATTCCAATATTCTCTCTTTTATCTGACTTCCCACTTTATAATGGGAAACCTAACAGATGTATTCCTTATTCTTATTCTTTTTAGAATGTTAGATGAAAAATATTTTATTTATTTAAATGAGGCATGGGGCTCACCGGCTGTGAGTTTGATATGCTTGCCAAAGACTCAAACTTGACCAGTCAGTATAGCACTGAAGCACAGTAATTTCCATCTTGGATAAAACTGCTGTTTGAATCCTCTGCTACTGTTAGATAGTCCCTAGTCCTATAAACTTAGTCATTATAAATTCTGTCACTTTAAGGAAGTCTGTTATTCTGTAAAATGACTTTGTTTTTAGTTCAAATAATAGAAAAAGATAAACTTAACTGCCTGAACTTGCAAGCTAGCCATCCAATGTAATAGACTGATACTGATAATAATTCCCATATTCTTATGCCAAGTATAAACTCATTATGTATTCAAGGTTACAACTGTCTGTAACAATAACTCACACAGAGTTATTTGTAATATCTGCAAACAAAGAGGCTCGAAAAGTATAAATATGAGACACTTCCTCTATTTCTGGGCTCAAAGATTTGGAAAGAGACACCTACTTTTGGGCCACGTACAATAAATGACTCCTAATTAATGGGCTCATTGGCATCTGGTATCCCATTCGATGATAGACAATACAACACAACCAGCTCAAAGTATGGATCATGTTCATAAGTAGACATACCACATTCACTAGCTGATCCTCCCACCAGCTGGAAGAACTGTTGGGCAATTTTCATATGATCCCTCTGAAAAACAAAGCAGAGCTTCTATAGAGGAATAAAATGAAAATATTCTATTTATATTATACTTTACGGTTTTAACATATTTATCAGGATTTAAATCCTCCCAAACAAAAGGAATGTTGATTAGCACACAACTAGAAAATGAGAACCTGAAACTGAATCAGCACCTACTCTGGCCCTAGCCGGTTTGGCTCAGTGGATAGAGTGTCGCCCTGCAGATTGAGGAGTCCCAAGTTTGATTCTAGTCAAGGGCTTGGTTGCAGGCTCCTCTTGGCCTGGGCCCTGATTGGGGTGCATGCAGGAGGCAACCAACTGATGTGTCTCTCTCACATTGATGTTTCTTTCTCTTTGTCTCTCCACCTCCCACTCTCTCTTAAAATCAATAGAAAAATATCCTCAAGTGAGGTTTAAAAAACAAAAAACCCACAAAAAAACCTACTCTGGGTCAGATAGAAAACAAGGAAAAAAAATCCATCCCAAAGTTCTATCCTAAAAGTACCATCATTAAATGAATTCACTCATGTACTCTTTCATTCACATAACAATGTGAATGAATGAGTACATGAGTACTCATTCATGGTATGAACATGGTATGAAAACAACAAATATTTATTGTTCTTTTACCATATATCAGAACTTGTAGTATGACTATAGTTATAACAAGGAGTATTTATTAAACAAACTCATTTATCTATTCAATAACTATTTATAGCCTATCTATGAATGAGGCTCTGTGAAGTGAGCTGAAAATAAGATTTATTCATATCCCACTTTGTTACAAAAAGAACTTAGTATTATTATTTAGAATATTAGAATTCTAAAGAATAAAAGAATCTTTATTCTTTTTAGAATGTTAGATGAATAATATTTAGATAAGAGCTTAATTTTAGACACAGTTTTTGTATTTATAAAAAGCATTCCAATAAAAACAATTATTCCGCCAAAACTGGTTTGGCTCAGTGGATAGAGCGTTGGCCTGCGGACTGAAAGATCCCAGGTTCAATTCCGGTCAGGGGCATGTACCTTGGTTGCGGGCACATCCCCAGTAGGGGGTGTGCAAGAGGCAGCTGATCAATGTTTATCATCGATGTTTCTAACTCTCTATCCCTCTCTGTAAAAAAATAAATACATATATATATATATTTTTTTTTTCAAAAAAAACATTATTCCCATTTTACAGATGCCAAAATTATAGCTCAGAGGTGTACAATGTTGAAAAAAAAAGTCACTGAAAATAAGAATGCAGCTGTGCAATGATTTGTTGTTATTAGATATATACATTGTTTAAAAATTGGGCTTTATTTATTTATTTATTTATTTATTAATAGGGTAGACTGATACTTTATTCTTCAACATTGTTTTAAAACAACTTTTGAAAAAGAACTCAGTCCTTTAATTTGCCATCTTTTGGTTGTTGATTAATAATAAAAATGTACAAATATGAAAATTTTGATATTTCTTGGACTTGCAATATCTCTCTCTTAATACTGTTACGCCCAGACTTCGTGATCTCCAAGAACCACCAGGGAGCCGAGTCCGATGCAATAAACAAAAGAGCCGTTTCCATGCTAGCATGGGCTCTGTCCCACTAAAAATTGGGCTCTTTTTAAACAAGCAACAATTCTTAGCATTAAAGACTTTTCTCTTTTTTTTTTGTCTTTAACAGAATTCTTTTTACAATGGGACCTGATGGGGGATATGGAGAAATGAGGACTGCAGAAGAGCCTATTTGTAAGCTTACGGATGGTTGAGCATTCATGTTTGTTTTGTTTTTTTTCCATACACTATAACTTTGCAAACTATGGATTACCAGTGATTTCATACTCACCGATCCCATTTCCTGGCCAAGGGCTGCATTGACCACTCCCTTGAGGATATACTCCTGGAAAGATGCAATAACAGTGATTTCAAAGGAATGTGATGCTATGAGATATCTTTCAAGTTAATTATTTACAACAACTCAGTACTTCACATATGTTATCAAAAGTTACCCAGAGTCACTTTTCTCTGTTCTATTCCTGGCCTGGAATGAAAGAATTAAGAGATTTTCATTTGGTTCCAGCAGGCAAGTGTTCATATAACAGAACCCACCATATTTGTAAATTCTCAATCTTAAGCAGAAATAACTCAGTGAAACTTCCAGGAGTTAAGTTTTGTTTCATTTAAATATAATGGAAACAAATTAATATTAAAAGTGTTTACATAATAATTTGTATCACCTTGTCAGCCACTGCCATTCTCTGTGACTATTTCATCATATGCATTATTTCCCCTTTTCAATGCTATAATAACTTTCCTTTGCTAGTTGATTCTTTCTTATAAATAAATAGTGTCGCCGAGACCGGTTTGGCTCAATGGATAGAGCGTCGGCTTGGGGACTGAAGGGTCCCGGGTTCGATTTCGGTCAAGGGCATGTGCCTTGGTTGCGGGCATATCCCCGGTGGGGGGTGTGCAAGAGGCAGCTGATCGATGACTCTCTCTCATCGATGTTTCTAACTCTCTATCTCTCTCCCTTCCTCTCTGTACAAAATCAATAAAATATATTAAAATAAATAAATAAATAGTGTCCTCTAGTTTCCATACGTAAAGCATTCTCTTTTGGAGTCCTAGGGCCTCACCTATATATCCTTTTCAGACTTGGGTCTATTCTTTAACAGACACCCACCTTAACAGTTTTATCAATTTTTAAAAAATATATATTTTATTGATTTTCTACAGAGAAGAAGGGAGAGGGCTAGAAAGTTAGAATCATGGATGACAGAAAAACATTGATCAGCTGCCTTCTGCACACCTCCTGCTGGGGATGAGTCTGCAACCAAAGTACATGCCCTTGACCAGAGTTGAACCTGGGACCTTTCAATCCATAGGCCAACATTCTTTCCACTGAGCCAAACCAGTTAAGGCAGCTTTATCAATTTTTATATGGGTGTTCTCTCTCTCTCTCTCTCTCTCTCTCTCTCTCTCTCTCTCTCTCTCTTTTTATAAGTCTCATAAAAAGAATCATACAGAAGATTCTAAAGCTTTTAAATGCATTTGAGAAATATATCTGTTTAGACTTCTGCGGTTTAGACATCCGACGCTCTACCACTGAGCCAAACCAGTTTCGGCAAAATATAACATTCTTAATTACCTGAGGAGTAGCAGGTTCCAGATCCTTGATTAAGTTATAAGCTTCTTGTACATCATCTGAAATACAAAAAATAAGTAGCTATACTAGTCGTATTTCAGTACTCTTCTGAAACAGTCTACAACAGGTAAGATCCTTCAGTACTGAAACTTTCATGAGAATTATGATCTATTCTATCTGTCCTATAAGTCTCTGTCAAGTTCAGTATTGAATAGTTACCCTACAGATAACCAAATATCCTTAGGAAAACCATATTAAGCCATGGAGCACTTAAAACATGTTCAAGTAAAGATTATAGATTGGGTGTTACACACCAACACCATAGTTATCTAAGAAAAACAACCATTTTTTCAGGCACATCCCCGGTGCGGGTTGTGCAGGAGGTGGCTGATCGGTGTTTCTCTCTCATCGATGTTACTAACTCTCTATCTCTCTCCCTTCCCCACTGTAAAATAACAATAAAAAATATTTTTTTAAAAATAAAAACAACCATTTTTATAATGTTTAACAATAAAAAAGATATGTGCAGAGGTAGGCAAAAGAAGGTTAAATTATCAATTGTCATTACCTAAAAGATAAAGCTTAAGTAAAGATAAGAAATAATAACAATAATAAGACAAGTAAGTAATATAGTCATTAAATAATAGTAATACAAGAACAAACTGTTTCGTATACTCACAACTATAAACCTACTTTTGCTGACCCCTGTATTAAGCATGTAGGAGTGAAATGACATTAAGTCTGTGATTTGCTTTTCAACATTTCAGCAACAACAACAAAAAAACAAACAAAAGGGAGCTGAAGCCAGTTTGGCTCAGTGGATAGAGCATCGGCCTCCGGACTGAAAGGTCCCAGGTTCCATTCCAGTCAAGGGTATGTACCTTGGTTTCGGGCACATCCCCAGTAGGGGGTGTGCAAAAGGCACTGATCCATGATTCTCTCTCATCGATGTTTCTAACTCTCTATTCCTCTCTCTTCCTCTCTGAAAAAAAAAATCAATAAAATATATTAACAAAAAAAAAAAAAAAAAAAAAAAAACAAGAGGGAGGATAGATGAAAAAAGATTGTCAATATCTTGAAAACCATAGGGCATGTGCCTTGGTTGAATCTGGGATGATTATATGGTATCCATACTATTTTTGTTTATGTCTGAAATTTTTAAAAAATATATTTTATTGATTTTTTACAGAGGGGAACAGAGAGGGATAAGAGTTAGAAACATCGATGAAAGAGAATCGTCGATCAGCTGCCTCTTGCACACCCCCCATTGGGGATGTGCCCACAACCAAGTACATGCCCTTGACCAGAATCGAACCTGGGACCTTTCAGTCTGCAGGCCGACGCTCTATCCACTGAGCTAAACCGGTTTCGTCTGTCTGAAATTTTTTACAATAAAAATTAAGACTATTAAAACATTAATTTATAAAATATATAATATGCTTCTTTTTTTGTTTTTTGTTAATCTTCAGCTGAGGATATCTTTCCATTTATTTTTAGAGAGAGTGGAAGGGAGGGAAGGGGAGAAACAGAGAGAGAAAAGCATCCATGTGAGAGAGACACATCTGTTGGTTGCCTTCCGTACACGCTCAGCCAAGGCCAGGGATCAAGCCTGCAACCGAGGCACATGCCCTCAGCCAGGATGGAACCCGGACCCTCAGTCCGAGAGCCAGTGCTCTATCCACTGAGCCAAACCAGCTAGGGCAGATGTTTCTTATCACAAAGTATATTTCTTTGTGCTTACATATCATATAGAGAGAACTATTTGCAAGTTCATGATTTTATTTTAATCAACACATTTTCCTCAGTGAGAATTATGTTGTCTGGTTGCTTTCTACTATGCATCTAAAAAGTCCCACACTGTTAGTCTGAAGTCCATGATAGAGAGCCACCACCAGTGTGTGGTCGCTACTACCTGTACATATAACTTAAATAAAAAACTGCTTTAGGATATGTCTAACAATTTTACTTAAGGGCAATAAATGTCACATTCTCTTTGAATTAAAATATTTTTTCATAAAAACTGAGAGCACAAAGAAATAGAAAGTTAAACAATTAGAAAAAATTAAAAAAAACAAACAAAAAAAAACAGTTAATGAGCCAACACTGGTTTGGCTCAGTGGATAGAGTGTCGGCTTGGGGACTGAAGGGTCTCGGGTTTGATTCCCGTCAAGGGCATGTACCTTGGTTGCAGGCATATCCCCAGTAGGGGGTGTGCAAGAGGCAGCTGATCGATAACTCTCTCTCATCGATGTTTCTAACTCTTTATCTCTCTCCTTTTCTCTCTGTACAAAATCAATAAAACATATTAAAAAAAACCAGTTAATGATAAAAAATACTTAAGATGTGGATGTACATCAAGCATGTCAAACTCAAAGGCTAACATGGGCCAAATAAACAAGTTTTAAGTTTATGTGGGCCTCAAAAAAATGAAAGCTTCAATTTTCATAGAAACATTTTGATAGAGATATGCTGAATACAAAGGGCTGAAATAAATGAGTCATTACTAACATTTTTTTCTTGAACATTAACTTGACACTGTAACTGCACAAATTAATAAACATAATGCAAACAAACCTATTTTTCTTGTTCTCCAAAAGCAAAATATTTCCTGTTTCACACATCAAACAAGTCAGTTCAAGACCAGTGGCCACTGGCTGCTAAAATATTCACTGCTAATATTAGTGGAGAGAAATGGTGCGCCTGCGCATAAGACGCGTAATGGAAATGAATGCAACATGATTAAAAAATCAGTTATTAGTAAGTGTTGTAGTTTGTTATAATTATATATAACAGGATATTGTAAAAATTAAATTATGAAATTTTTATTAAAACAAATAGTTTAATTAGAGGTTAAATGTTCTAAAGTATATTTTTATAAGCAAGACAAAGACAAAATTTTACTTACCTTGACGAAGGTAGTAAATCACTAAGTTTAGCCTTGCTTCAGGAATGACATCAACCAGGGGAGGCAAAACCTGCAAAGCCCCTTCACCTCCTCGGAAGACAACCTGGAGATGGAGAAGCCGTGTTATTATGTCAATGAGTACAAATGTATTTATTGGTGGAAATGTTTCAGGAACTGAGACTTGTAAGTGGGTACATGATGTCTAAGTCTTATAGCCCTGGGAATCAGTTAATATCTTGAGAACTTTTATCATTCACTGAATGTATTGACTATTACCTGTGCTTCTAACCATTTGCCTTCCCCATCCCTTTGATTTTGATCCTTGTATTTAAATATTTCCTGTTTTACTCTATCTAAAATCTATCTTCACTATCAGTCTTATATCCTTATGTGCCTTTATTTTTATTCATAGCACTTATCATTTCATTTTACATATTTCGTATCTGTTACACCCACCAGCATATAAGTTCCATATGACAAGGAACTTTGCATTTACTGTGTACTCTCAGCCCCTAGCACTACATCTAACATAGTTGATACTCATTATTTGAAAGGATGCATATATATGTGTGTGTGTGTGTGTATATATATATATATATATATATATATATATATATATTTAATTACTTTGATTTCTAGAGAAAGAGGAAGAGAGGGAGAGAAACATCGATGTAATAGCAACACATCAATCAGCTGTCTCCTGCACACCTCCTACTGGGGATTGAACCTACAACCCGGGCATGTACCCTAACCAGGAATCGAACTGACAACCAACTGAGCCACACTACCAGGGAAGAATGAATACATTTTTGAAGCTCTCTATACACATGACCTTGACCTCACTTAAAAAAAAAAAAAAAAAGGCATTATCTAGTTCTAGCTGGTTTGGCTCAGTTGGCTGGGCATTGTCCAGTTCACCAAAAGGTTGCCAGATTGATTCCTGGTCAGGGTATATGCCCAGGTATGCAGGAAGCAGTTAATGGATTTTTGGATCTCACCTTGATGTTTCTCTCTCTCTCCTTCCTTTTTCTCAGTCTAAAAATCAATTTAAAAAAAAATCTTTAAGCTGTCTTGCTGGTATTTCTCAGTAGTTAGAGCATTTGACCATGCACCAAAGGGTCATGGGTTCAATTCCCAGTCAAGAGCACATATGTAGGTTGCAGGTTCCATCTCCAGTCCCAGTCGGGGTGCATGCGGGAGGCAATCAATTGACATGTCTCTCTCTCTCTCATTAATGCTTTTCTTTCTCACTTCCTTCCTCCCTCCCTTTTTCCTTCCCTCCCCTCCACTGTCTAAAAATCAATGGAGCCCGGCCAGTGTCGCTCAGTGGTTGAGAGTCGACCTATGAACCAGGAGGTCATGGTTCAATTCCCGACCAGGACCCACACTTAGGTTGGGCGTGCAGAAGCAGCCAATCAATGATGTTTCTATCTCCTTCCTCCTCTCACTTCCTCTCTGAAATAAATAAAAATATATTATAAATATATAAATAAAAATCAATGGAGTCCTGACTGGTTTGGCTCAGTGGATAGAGCATCTGCTTGCGGACTGAAGGGTCCCAGGTTTGATTCCAGTCAAGGGCATGTACCTTGGTTGCAGGCATATCCCCAGCAGGGGTGTGCAGGAGGCAGCTGATTGATGTTTCTCTCTCATCAATGTTTCTAACTCTCTATCCCTCTCCCTTCCTCTCTGTAAAAAATCAATATAATGTATTTTTAAAAATCAATTGAGCCAAAGCCGGTTTGGCTCAGTGGCAGAGTGTCGGTCTGCGGACTGAAAGGTCCCAGTTTCGATTCTGGTCAAGGGCATGTACATTGGTTGCGGGCACATCCTCGGTAGGGGGTGTGCAAGAGGCAGCCAGTCGATGTTTCTCTCTCATTGATGTTTCTAGCTCTCTATCTCTCTCTCCCTTCCTCTTTGTAAAAAAAAATCAATAAATATTTTTTTTAAATTAATTGAAAAAATATCCTCAGGTGAAGATTAATTTTAAAAAAAAAGCCCTAGCTGGTTTTGCTCAGTGGATAGAGCATCAGCCTGAGGATTGAAGGGTCCTGGGTTCGATTCTGGTCAAGAGCACATGCCTGGGTTGCAGGCTTGATCCCCAGCAGGGGGCATGCAGGAGGCAGCTAATCAATGACTCTCATCAGTGATTCTTCTCTCTCTTTTCCTCTCTGAAATCCATAAAAATATATTTTTTTAAAAAGAAAAAAGCCATTAAATTATACTAAGTATAAGAAACAGATAAATGAATTGCATAAATTTTATTTTCTCGTCATAAAAACTGCAGAAACCTGGCTGGTGTGGCTCAGTGGTTGAGTACCAACCTATGAGCCAGGAGGTCATGGTTTGATTCCCAGTCAGGGCATACGCCCAGGTTGCAGGCTTGAGCCCCTGTGTTGGGTGTGCAAAAGGCAGCCAATCAATGATTTTTTCCATCATTGATGTTTCTATCTCCCTCTCCCTCTCTCTTCCTCTCTAAAATTAAGTTTAAAAAATATATTTTTAAACACCTGCAGAAAACTCTTATTAAAGTACCCAATCATTAATGAAACTTTTTTTCGAGATAGATATTCTATATCAAAAATCACATGAAGGGATTTATATACCTTTCTTTGAGCCTTTTACCTCCCCTATCTGCATGAAGGAATTTAGATAGAAACACCGGGCCAGGAAGGGAGCTATCATAGGTAACTGTATTTTCATCCGAACCTAAGTGTGGTGGACAGGGAGGAACTCAGCAGCCTTGCTTGTTGACTTCTAGAGACCCATTGTTTCTTGGTGGCCCAAATAAGAATTTGCTTACCAAATTCTTGCTTCTTTGCATCTACCTGTCAATTGCTTACCTTCCCTTAGAGTACAAATCACTATTCCCTTTTTCCTTTGCTCAAGATAGCTTATAAGCCTCAACTGCCTATTTGTCCTCAGGACCCTTATCCTAATAAAGCCCTTATCTGTACACATGTAATACATTTGGTTATTTTCTCTTGTTAATCTGTCTCATGTCAATTTTATTATTAGATCACCCAGAACTTAGAGAATAAAAATATATATATGTAAATATATTTTTCCTCTCCTATAAACAGGGTGGGGCAAAAGTAGGTTTACAGTTGTAAGATACAGAATTTATTCTTGGGCTATTATTAATTATTGTGTTATTTTCCATATGATCAACTGTGAACCTACTTATGCCCCACCCTCTATATGGGCAAAAGTAGGTTTACAGTTGCGAGTACACGAAAGTTTATTCTTGTATTATTATTTATTATTGTATTATTTATTTGTATTATAATTATAAACCTACTTTTGCCCACACTATATATTACTGTCCTCCCACTAAGGATTTCCATGATAAAAGGACCTGATATTTTACAAACACATTTTCTCTCCTCAATAGCAAGGAGTTCCCTTGAAGTAGAGGAGTATTTGCTAAGCTATCTCCCTTCATTCATCTTTCTAATGGCTGAGATGTAGAAAATAAGATAAGACTTAAGTCACTCAAGACAGAAAACTATTTTTCACCAGATTGTGCCTGATGAGTTCCTTCGCAAATTCAAAGGAAGAAGAAGCATTGTCCATCAAGCTTTTGAGTTCAGCCTGAAATTGAAAAAGGAAAGACTTATGAAAACAACACATCTATAGTCTAACATCACATATTTGCACAATGCTTTATAGCTTCAAAGAATTTAATATGCTATTTCATTTGTTCCTCAGGACTCTATAATGTAATTATGATTATCCTCATTTTACAGTTGAGAACATTGAGGCCTATAAAAGTTTAGTGACTTGAACCTTACACTAACCAGCAAGTTTGAAATTGGTGAACCCAAGTGTGAAGATTCCTTAATACCAGCTGGGCAAGGAGTTAAACTTTCAGCAACTGAGGCTGACCCTTAAATCTAACCATCCACCATATCCTGAATTCTCATAGTAACTCATTCCTTCTGAATTGCTATTTGTTTACATAACTCAATTAGAATGCACCTTTCCACCCTGGCAGGATAGCTCAGTTGGTGAGAGTGTCACCTCTGTACAAGATTTCGGACTTAATCCTTGGTTAAGGCACATACCAATGAATGCATACATAAGTGAAACAACAAATGGACATTTCTCTCTCTCTCTTTCTCCCTCAAATCAATCAATCAATCAATCAATCAATCAAATAAAATACCTCTTCCTTCTATTTTATTATTTATTAGATCTCTTCTGCATTCTCTTACTCACTTACCACCCCTTAGAATAAATGGTTAGTAATTTCCAGTGTCTTTACTAAGACACTAGACTCACCACTTTCACAGAGTTCTGCTATTTTTACCTTGCCAATCTATGATTTTGAGTAATCCTCTCTTCCTCCTTTTTCTATTTTCATCAGTAGGTAGCTAAAGTTTTGTGGATAAAATGATTAAATTCTTGATTATGCACATTAACTACTATAATCTTGTTCTACGTGACCTCAGATGGGAATGCCTTTTGGAGATGGGAAGTGCAGTTTGGCAACCTGACTTGGATAGCATATTGAATACTGGTTAGCCATGCTATTCATACCAGATTATAGACAGAATGTGTGCAAATCAAATTGGCAACGTCCCCAAGATTGATTCAAGATAGAAAGGCAAAAATATATTTCTTTTCTTTGTTCTTACCAAGGTTGAAAATTCTGAAGAGATCAAATTGCAAACCCAGTTTACTATTAAACTGCTGATGCTGGAAACTAGTCAATTAGATAGACTCAAGGGACCTTTTAGTTGAAATGAGCACATCCAAGAATCTATTTTAATGTAATATATAAATGGACTGTTCGATTGTATATTGAGCAATTTAATTGATGGGCATTTCTTTTGCCACAACTAACCATTTTTATTGACATAAGCCACAGAAAGTGAATCTGGGCTTATGTGCTCTACACCCCTCCTTCCCTGCCAACTACTACACACTGTTTCCCTGAGGAGTTGAATATCCTGTCAGCACAGAGTAATTTCCTTGCTATTACATTTTCACAAATTTTACCTTGATATAGTCAATTTGCTGGTTTCAGTTTCTTTCTTTCCTCCTCTTACTCTGGGTGGCATGATACCAGTTAAAACTGTTTTTCAGATAAGAGTAGCATTTTAAAATTTTGACACATGCAAAAATTTTACTTTTAAATTTTGGTGGCTTCTGACATAAAGTAATACCCAAGAAATACTTTCCAAACTTGGTCGCCTCATAGAGTTAACTTAAAAATATGTGTATAAGATCTGGTCATTGTGGCTCACTTGGTTGGTCACCATCTTATAAACCAGGAATTTGCTGGTTCAATTCCCACTAGGAAGTTTTTGGCTCAATACCTGGTAGGGGGCATGCAGGAGGCAGCCAATTGATGTTACTATCTCCCTCTCTCTCTCTCTCCCTTTCTCTCTCTCTAATAAATTCTTCTTTTAAAAAAATGTGTACAATGTTGGGCAAAAATAGATTTACAGTTGTTTGTATGGAAAAATAATAAAATAATTAATAAATAATAACACAAAGTAAACTCTTGTGTTCTGCATACTCACAACTGTAATCCTACCTTCCCTTTCCCCTTAAATAACCAAATCTGTACATAGATATAGTATAGTACATTCCCTCTCTCTCTCTCTCTCTCTCTCTCTCTCTCTCTATATATATATATATATATATATAGCTATATATATATATATATATAGCTATATACATGTGTATATATGTATTCATGTGTGTGTGTGTATATGAAATGTTAAATAAAATAAAAGGGGGGTAATAATGTCTGGCTTCCTGTGTACTCTCAGTAGTTTCCTATAAAAAGAGAACTCTAACATTATTTACCTCAGGGTTGTCAGGGAAACTAAAAGGATATAAAGTATTCTGCACAGTACTTATAAGGTAGCTAGGTTCTAAGTTTTTATAAAACATCTACTACTACTGATTCTTATAATAACCTTGAAGGAGACAATGAAGTGTACCAACCCAAGGAGGACAGTCAGGAATAAGAAAGGAGTATGCAAAGTAATGGCACTTAGAGTACGGCATATGGAGCAAACTCACTAGTTGGGCCAAAGAGGACAAGACTAGAGGCAGGGAAAGATCTGAAATAAGTGATGAGGACTAGAGCAGTGGCAAAGGAAAAAGCAGACAGAGAAAAGGGATATCTAGAACACAGAACTGGTAGGAACTGGTAGGTGGGGAATGAAGGAGAAGAGAGTGATGGATATCCTAGGATTGGATGTGATTTACATATTGCTGATACTAAACCAAAGAGCCTCAAAATATTTTGGAGGAAGAAGTGAAAATATCTGATTTTAACATATTTGAGTTAATGTAGGGCATCTAAGAAAAGATCATCTACAATATATTAAGCATACACAAAGAATTTAGAAGTTAAGATTCTTTTTAGAAGATCTGATAAATATAAATATTGAAATAATTAGGTTCGTATAGAATCACACTGGCAATAAAAAAGGGGTATTAATCAAGACTTATAGATAATAGATTCATTAATAACCCGGGAAGCATAGGGTAATTTGAAACAGAATTAAGTTAAAAAACAAATTTCCATCACTACCTCAGCTGCTTTGCCATTGTAAAGACGAAAATGATTACAGGCCTTAAGATTGAGTGCGATGGTACTATCAGGAATTTGCTGAAGGTAAACAGCCAGAACTTCTTGAGACACATCATAGTAATCCAATTTGTAGTAACACAGAGCCACATAAACATTAAGGGCAAGGTATTCCCTATTAGATAAAAGAATAAAAGGTTAACAGAAATGCTGTCAAACCACAAAGACTTTTTTAAGAGCCAAGAAGAAGAGCAAAGCAAAGAGGATATGAATTTATCTTTCAAAGAAAGAAGGCAAGATGTAATCAGTGCAGGATTTTTCTTTTGGTATTGTAATTTTGGATGTTTTGATAAGTAGAAAAAAGAATGACAATTAGAGAAGCAAGTGAAAAGTTTAATTCCTACCTATTCATGTTAAAAAAAACTAACATCCTATTTAACAAAGAGGTAATATGCAAATTGACCCTCATGCCCTTGCATCACAAGATGACCACCCCCACCTTGTCACATGATGGCCAACAGGGGACGACAGCTGGGGGCCACCAGGCATGTAGAAGAGGGCAATTGGAGGTGATGGGGCCAGAAGAGCAGTTAAGGTATCAATCAAGCTGGCAGGGGAGCAGTTAGGGGGTGATCAGGCTGGGAGGCAGAGTAGTTAGGGACAATCAGGCAGCCAGGCAGGCGAGTGGTTAGGAGCCAGCAGTCCCAGATTGTTACTAAAACAGCAGTCGGACATCCCCCTAGGGGTCCCAGATTGGAGAGGGTGCAGCCTGGGCTAAGGGACAGCCCTCCAGTGCACGAATTTTGTGCACCAGGCCTCCAGTACAACATAATTGAGTATAAGTGCAAATAAGAACAGAAGATGGGACAGACAAGGTAATAGAACTGATGACTTAAAATGGAAATGAGTGGGAGATTGTGAAAGTAAAGCAAGAGAAGGGAGAAGAGAGGTAAATGAGATATTTGGGAAATGTGGGAGAGAGGCAAAATGGTCAGTGATAAAGTTGCAATGTTAATTTTTTCATTGTCATCACTAAGTTACCTAAAAGGTACTGCAACTTTGAAATTGATACACCTAGACCATACATTATCAATAGGGGAAATATCACTTATATTTGGGGCAATAATTGGTTCTTATAAAGAGGTGGGAAATTATACTAATTTTGTATACGAAGCGTAGCTATACATACTGTACATAAACAAATATACAGTATATATGTGGTATTAAAATTCCATGGGAGGGCAACTAGAGGGGGGAAAGGTCTAAAACGGCTCCTTGGAAGGGTGATAATGAAATAAAGGAGGAGAAACCTTGATCTAGACAATAAAGAGTTCTTACACTCACCAGATTAGCTAACAGATCTGAACACATAATGATACTAGATATAAAGGACATTGTATTTTTGGCCAAACCTGTTACAGAAGAAACTAACAAAATGAGATTTTGAGTAGACATAAAAGGACACAGACCTGTTATCTAGCAGTATTCGCTTATAAATATCAATAGCTTCTTGGTAGTGAGAGCGCATATAGTGGATTGAGGCCAAACTGAGCTGATCTTCCGTGATATCTTGAAGATTCTGATGGAAGTTCATCAACTTCTTCTCATCATTAAACTAAAATTGTAAGAGAGAAAAAGACATATAAAATTCACATTAGCCCTGGCTGGATAGCTCAGTTGGTCAGAGCGTGGTCCTAATATCCCCAGTCAGGGCACCTACAAGAAACAACCAATGAATGCATAAATAAGTGGAACAACACATCAGTATCTCTCTCTCTCTCTCTCTCTCCCTTTCTCTAAATTTAATATTTAAAAAATTCATATTACAGTATAGTCAGAGATAGCAACACCTACATTATAGAGATTTTAACTCCTCCTCCTCCAGCCATTTTATCTCTATGTTCTCCCTATTTCCCTGCAGTTCTTGTCTCCTTCTTTGTCTATCCTTCAGAGAAAGAATGGAAATAGCCTCTAAAAGGATAGTCTTAACAATGGAAACCCTTTAAGTTAGAGGTCATATTACTTACTTGACCCCTCTTTCCTCTTTCTCTTACACTCTTTTTCTTTTCTATTTTTTTCTTGATATTTTCTTCCTTTCTTCATTTTCCTGTTCTCTTTTCTTTTTTTAAATATGTTTTTTTATTGATATTAGAGAGAGAGAGAAAGGGAGAGGGAAAGAGAGAGAAATATTGATGTGAAAGTAAGACATTGATTGGTTGCCTCCTGTGCCCCCTCCCCCCTTACTTGGAATCAAGCCCACAACCTGGATATGTGCCCTGACCAAGAATGGAACCAGCGACCTCTTGATGCATGGGTCCATGCTCAACCACTGAGCCACATCAGCCAGGCTTCTTTTTTAAAAAAATTTATTTTAGAGAGAAAGAGGAAGAGAAACACAGGAGAGAGAAATATTGATTTTGCTGCTCCACTTATTTATGCATTCATTGGCTGTTTCTTTTATGTGCCTGTCAGGGAATTGATCCTACAATCTTGGAACATCTGAGCTTCCTAGCCAGGGCCTATCCTTTTTTAAAAATATATATTTTTATTTAGTTTTTACAGAGAGGAAGGAAGAGGGATAGAGAGTTAGAAACATCGATGAGAGAGAGACAGCGATCAGCTGTCTCCTGCACACCCTCTACTGGGGATGTGCCCACAACCAAGGTACATGCCCTTTACCCGAATCGAAACAGGGACCTTTCAGTCTGCATGCCGACACTCTATCCATTGAGCCAAACCGGTTTTGGCTCTTTACCTTTTTTATATTCTGCTTACAAGAGAGACATTTAAAATATTAGGATACAAAGAAGTAGAAAGTAAAAGGATGTAAAAAGTCATAAGAGGCCAACAGTAATCAAAAAAGATCTGGTGTAGCTATATAAATATGACAAAGTAGACTTTATATGGAAAAGAGTTTTTACAGATAAAGGCAGACATTGTATTATTATGATCTGTGTTTCAATCCACTAGACATAACAAGAATTTCTAGTTAATTATTTCTTACCATTGTTGGTAACAAGAAAATAAAAGAAAAAGAAGTTTTTTAAATGTGTGAAATCAGAATATGAATACCTTGTGAGCCAAATGAAAGAGGAGGCGGTTTTGAAGTCGGCTTTTTGGAGCTAAAAAAAAGAAAAAAGAAAAATCCAAGCTGCTTATTAAAGAACTTAATTGCCGACGCACTCAGTCCCATGCAGGAATGACTTGGGACTCAGATAAGTTTTCCCAAATCCTTACTTATCTGATCCTGATATATCTCTGCTACATAACAATACATATTATTTTAGTCTAGTTTCCACCTGTGTAACAGCATCAAGAACCAGAAGAAAAGCATCCTAAGGCTCTGCTCTTCGCAATCATTTGTTCTACCTGATTCTATTATGGCGGACCACAGCCCACTACAGTGCTGTTCACTGAACCAAACTCTGGAAATAAACAGTTATGGTCATTTCAATACATATAGGAATCCATTCTCATTCAGCTGTTCTTCCCAGTATGCTTTGTCAATTCCTTCTGAAATTTCTTTTTCCACAGTTATATTACCACAAGACGCTGATGCATGAAAATTCATGCACTGGATGGGGGAGTCCCTCAGCCTGGCCTGCCCCCTCTCACAAGGGCAGAAGGCAACGCCCCTATCACAACTCTGCTGCTGCCACTGCGGCAGCACAAGCCTTGGCCAGCCCTGATTACCTGAGCCTCGGGCGGCCCTGGGCAGCTGGGCTTCTGGGCAGCCACAATAAAGGCTTGCCTGCGCCTAGGGCTGGCCCTGGGTGGCTGGTGGGCTGAGGGGACTGGGGACTCTGGAGGCAGGCACGCAGAGCGTCCAGGCCCACCTTGGGAGGGCCCAGCCTTGCAACGTGCCTGCCACCCCAGTGGGGCTGAGGGGACAGGGCATCACCATCTTGTGGCTGTGGGCACCACCATCTTTGAGGGCATGACCGTCAATTAGCATATTCCCTCCTTATTGGCTGTGGGCACCGCCATCTTTGAGAGCGCGGTAGTCAATTAGCATATTCCCTCTTTATTTGATAGGACATTTTTTTAAGTGCTAGTCCAGCCTCTACTCCATAGATCTTCTAGCATGATAATCTGCTACAATGAAACAGGCAGCCAAGCAAAAAAGGTTAACACCTTTCAAGTTCAAAATCCTCTTTGCTCTCTTGGAGAATTTTCCCAATTCTGTACACTCAATCCTATATCTTTTTACAGCAAAAAGTCATACTTCAGTGTATAAAAAATAAAAATATCTCTGGCCAGGTAGCTCATTTGGTTAGTGTTGACCCAATATGCCAAGGTTGCGATTTCCATCTCTAGTCAGGGCACATATATAAGAATCAAGCAATGAATGCATAAATAAGTGGAACAACAAATTATGTTTCTCACTCTATATCATTTCCCCCCTCTCTTTCAAATCAATAAAAATTCATAAACAATGAAAAAAAAAGTATGAAAAGATATATAGCTACCTTGATCATCTTCTGTGTGTCTTACACTGTTCTAGGCAGAAAAAGCAAGTAACTTAAAGGCCCTTATAAATAATTGGGAAAAACTATATTAGTACATATGACACAAATTGGGTACAAATCAAGTAAGGCTTTAAGTTCCACATTTTCCATGAATTTGAGCTGAAATTCTATGTCAGTTAATTCACTAAGAATTCTACCCTGGAATACATTCTTCCTTAACAAATTTATTTCTTTTTTGTTAGTTTAAATATGTTTTCATTGATTTTTTTAGAGAGAGAGGAAGGGAGAGAGAGAAAAACAACAATTTGAGAGAAAAACAACAATTGGCTGCCTCCTGCACACCCCGACTGGGGATGGGGGATTGAACCCATAACCTGGGTATATGCCCTGACCAGAAACAGACCTGCAACCTTTCAGTGCATGGGACAATGCTCAACCAACTGAACGACTCTGGCCCGGGCACAAATTTCTTAAAATATATTACCTTGCTCACTTTCTCTACCTTTTTTTGAATTTAATTTGATTCATACTCTAATTCTTAATCTTCCCTTCCATATTTCCCTTTGCCCTACTCTTGTTTGCAAATTTGAGTCTAGTTTTCCAAAATGACTGTCATGACAAGTAAAGCAAAAGTAAAGAAGTACGGATTCTTCACACTGAAATTACTTGGCTTCTCACTCAGAAGCAGAAACAGCAGCTATAAAATCCACATCCATAAGAGCTTGAACAACTATCCCCAACTCCCACCAAAAGCATGAACATGCTATCATGCTGGGGCCTAAGAAAGATACCTTGCTCTTTTTCTTCCCTCATTCTTCTGCCAGAAGCTGTACCTTCTAAGAAGGGGGGGGGGGGAGCAGCACACACAACCTTGGTGTACTGGGTTGACGTTCTAACAAACTGAGCTGCCCGGCCAAAGCACAAACTTAAATTTGTTCAAACACAACATTCTTTGAAGAGTAAAGCTATTTTTTTTAGCTTTCTAATATCATTTGAATTTTCATCAACAGTAATAGAAATTAATTTTTTTAATCTCCAAAATGACTCTTATAATTAGTGATGAATATCAGACATTAAAGCGGCCCATTTTACCTTTGAATCCAGCAGCTTCAGCTTGCTTATACATTCCAAGAAAAAAGTAGGTACAGGCTAGATTCACCCAGACTTCAGGATTGCAATTTTCCTCTTTTGTCACATTTTCATATTCCTGAAATATGTATTAAACAGTGATGTTATTTTGGCAATAACACAATAGATGGGCCACCCTTCTATGATGGAATAGGATTTCTTACTGAGATTGGAAAACTTCCTACTTAGGAAATCTGAATGCTCAACTATTCCCTATCTGTAAGGTTAAAAACACTGTAGCTAGCCCTAGCCCGTTTGGCTCAATGTTACAGCTTTGATCTCCTCCCAGGTTGGGGCATGTGTGGGAGGTAACCGATTGATGTCTCTCATATAGATGTTTCTCTCTCTCTGTCTCTCCCCGTCCCTTCCTTTCACTCTCTAAAAATCAATGAAAAAAATATCCTCGGATGAGGATTAACAAAAGACAAACAAAATACTGCAGCTAAAACTCAATCCTACCCATGTAGGACTGTGGTCCACAGACTCTTACACTTGTTTTTTCCCCCTTTTTAACAATGATATGAGCTATAAATTGCATAAATGAACAGTTATGAAAATAATTTATTTTTACTAACTTAAAAAGGCATACAAAAGATACTTTATAAAAATGCATAGGTTCAGTTAACTTAAAATCTGATAGCATTACTACACTACAAATTCCATTTCATTGTAATTGGTTCTTTGGCTTTACATTGTTTAAAAGCCGTTTTTCTCCCCCACCATATGTTTCTGAGATTCACTTTGTCAACTATATTTTCATATACTCTTACTATTTATCAGTCTATGCTAGATGCCTTTACTTTTTCTTATTACATTTGGGTTACTCTCCTTTCTCCTACATCTTTCACAACCGCTACCAGCCTCTCTACTGTCCTTTTCACATCTTCTCTTTTCCTTCACCAATTTTGTTGCTTTTGTTCTTTATCTCACCACATTACCTAATTTTGGATACTTTCATTTTAGTTATGCAGGTTCTTTAAATATCCTTAAATTACATTTTTTTATTTTATTTTATTGATTTTTACAGAAAGGAAGGGAGAGAGATAGAGAGAAAGAAAAGTCGATGAGAGAGAAACATCGACCAGCTGCCTCCTGCACACCCCCTACCGGGGATGTGCCTGCAACCAATGTACATGCCCTTGACCGGAATCGAACCTGGGACCTTTCAGTCCACAGGCCGACGCTCTATCCACTGAGCCAAACTGGTTTTGGCTCCTTAGATTACATTTTGAGAGTAAGTATATGTGGGAAATGTTTAAACAATTTCATTTATGAATTAAAAATTGCTTGGAAAAAGGCATCTATAATTTTATCTAGATCCATCTTATAGATTGTTCATTACAATGACCAAGAAAAACAACTTCAAAACTAAAGATAATATAATCTTTTATATCTCTAAAATATAACCAGACAAAAGAAAAATGAACTTTACGCCGAAACCAGTTTGGTTCAGTGGTAGAGTGTCGGTCTGTGGACTGAAAGGTCCCGGGTTCGACTCCGGTCAAGGGCATGTGCATTGGTTGTGGGCACATCCCCAGTAGGGGGTGTGCAAGAGGCAGCTGGTCGATGTTTCTCTCTCATCGACGTTTCTAGCTCTCTATCCCTCTCTCCTCCTCTGTAAAAAATCAATAAAATATATTTTAAAAAAAGAAAAATGAACTTCTTTTGAGGAAAGACTCATAAAAACTTTCTATCAAAATGACTTATTTTTCCTTTCCTGAAAACTTACCGTACTTAAGAAATAATATTGCTAATATGTTGTACAATCTCACTAATTTGTATCTAAAAGCAAAAGGAAACAAGATATATACACATACTTGAACATATAAAGAATTCTGAAGCAACTCATCAAAAAAGAGCCAAAGGCCCTAGCTGGTTTGGCTCAGTGAATAAAGTGTTGGCCTACAGACTTAAGAGTCCCAGGTTCAATTCTTGTCAAGGGCATGTACCTTGGTTGTGGTCACATCCCCAGTAGGGGGTGGGCAGGAGGCAACTGATCAATGTTTCTCTCCCATTGATATTTCTAACTCTCTACCCCTCTCCCTTCCTTTCTGTAAAAAATCAATAAAATATATTTTTTTTTAAAAAGAAAAAAGAAAAAAAAAAAAGAGCCAATGGCTGCCTTGGTGTAAATTAACAAAAAGGTAGAATTGGGAACAGCTTCTTTTTTTTTTTTTTAACTTTGTACCTTTCTATATTGTTTGAATTGTATCATAAGCATGTATTATTACAATACAAAGCTTAATAACATTTTCAAAGCCCTTCTTTTACAAATTTTCTTTTTACTAACCTCCAAAGCTCTCTTGTAGTCACCCAGGTGAAAAGCACAGTATCCAATCCACAAATTAGTATCCTCTTCTTGTTCCCCAACATGACGTTTGAACTTCAGGTTAAAATTTCATGGGAAAAAAAATCATCAAAAAACTTTTTAAAGTAACCCATTTAAAAACAAACAAACAAACAAAATGCTACGTTAAATTATTGACAAATAATAAAAAACCATAAATAATAGAAACAAATGAATATCCAATTTAATTAAACCAATACCTAGATAACTGAGCACAATTACCTTCTAATTGTTAAAGAAATTGCCATTTTAAAACATTTCACCTTTATTTTTCTGTATTTGCTGACACCTCACTCCAGAAAGTATTTAAGCATTATCCTCATAACAATTCTGGGTGATATATAAAAACATAAGAATTATATGAAACATTTAATTCAAAATAATTGAAAGATAGATGAAGTAATAAGCTCCAGGCCATAGAGCCAGTAGGTGTGGAGGCAGGGTCTTAAGTCATGTTTGGCTCCAAATCCCATGTTCTCACCCTCCATGTTCTACCACATTCAGCTTAATGGTTCAAACCTGTCTCGTTAGTATACATATATATTTACTCATCCTATCTAACAAAGAGGGAATATGCTAATTGACCCTCACACTATTGCAAAGATGGCAGCACCCATAGCCAATAAGGAGGGAATATGCTAAATGACTGCCCTGCCCATAAAGATGGTATCATCCAGTCCCCTCAGCCCCTCCTGCCTCCAGAGTCCCCCAGCTCCCTCCACCCCCCCAGGGCCAGTCCGAGGTGCAGGCAAGCCTCGGATGGTGGCTGCCCAGCTGCCCAGGGCCACCTGAGGCTCAGGTAACCAGGGATGGTCTAGGCTTGCACTGCCAGCAGTGGCAGCAGCAGGGGTGTGATGGGCATCACCTTCCCCTGGTCCTTCTAGGTCAACTCCCAACTTTAAAGATGAAAAGATTGATTTAAAAAAGTTAAACAGCTCTAGCCAGATGGCTCAGTTAGTTAGAGCATTGACTGATACACCAAGGTTGCCGAGTCAGCCCCTGGTTATGACACATATATATACAAGAAGCAACCAATGAATAATTAAAATGCCGGAAATTGATCATTGTTAACAACCTTCATTGCTCTGAAAAGTCAGAACTAGTTCGCTCACTGTTTAGTTGAAACATTGTTAGCTGCAACAGTCTCCACCAATTGTCTTATGTAAATTTCTGTTATTGGAGTTTCCTGCCCCAGGGCTATGGGTGTAATCCATAGTCTCAATAAAAGGGATAGCTAGGCCAGAGCAGGGGTAGTCCTCCCACTAGAGGTGGGCTCCTGCCTGGGCCCCATTATCGCCAAATTAATACTTTTCTAGTCTGTTTTCATTTGTTTTGTGTCCTTCTCCAGAATCCAAACCAAAACCCTGAACCACGAAGGATGTGAAAGGGGTTCCCATAATAAATAAGCGGAACAACAAATAAACATTTCTCTCTCTATAAAATCAAAATTTTTTAAAAAGTTAAACAATGTGCTTCATACCAGATCACTAGGAAAAAAATGTAGGACTATCCATAGAAGTCAGAGAAAGATATATAAAGCTAAAATTAAAATAATCATTAAGTCTATAATTGTGCTTTGGAGAAATGCCTGCGGTACAACGTAAGCAGGCTTGCTGTCGAGCATCCCCTGTACATTCTTTGGTGCACCCTTCATGCTCCTTCACTCCCCTCTAGCATGTGCTTTCCACAAAGCCGTTTCTCAAAGTGCACTGTCCTTGGACCACCTACGTCAGACGCACTCCGGCTACTTGCCTAAAACGCAGGCTCCTTAGCCCCACTGTAGACTGATTCTGTAAAGAATCAGAATCCCTGTCCTAGTCGGGAGGCTCAGTTGTTGGGAGCTTTGTCCTGTGCACCACCTGGGTGGCAGTTTCCAACCCTAGTCGAGGTGCATGTCGGAGGCAAACTCACATCTGATATTTCTCTCTTGCCCTCCTCTCTCTCAAAAAAATAATCCATCCACAGGCAGAGGCTCAGGAATATAAAGCACTGCAGGTGGTTCACATAGATATTAAATTTAAGAACTACTGCCATAGAGATTGAAATATTTTCTGAAGATTTAGTATTTAAGACAATAAGCATGAGGCATCGTAGATTAAATTTAATCAAAATTTGCCTACAGGCCCGGAGCAGTGGCTGCCAGGCTGGGAGCGACCAGGCCCGGAGCAGCAGCAGCCAAGTCCAGAGCAACTAGGTCGGGAGCGGCAGTGACCAGACCCGGAGCAGCTTGTTGTGGAACAAACCAGAGCAACAGAGGCCAGGCCCTGAGCAGCCAGGCCCAGAACAGCTCGCTCCTCGCCTGCCCCCACCCCAAGGCTGCCTCTCAGACATGGCTGGAAACTTTCGCGGGAACTTGAGGGTCTGCTGAATCAAGTGATGAAGCTTAGATCTGGATGTGTTGAGTTAGTATAGGGCTGGGGTGTTGATCTGTGAGTGCCTTGGGTGGGGCCTGGATGAGGCTAGTTGACCTATTTGGAAATGTCTTTTGTGTGAAGTGTATCATTGGGCATGTGGAGGTATTATTGATATGAGAAAATGCTAAGTAACTGATTTACTATCTGAAAAGGGATTTACTATCGGGGAAAGGGAGGGAAGAAGAGACTGAACATAAACTGTGCACCTATGGATGAGGACAATGGGGGATGGGGAGGGGGCGGAGGGTGGGGTGGGAACCTGGTGGAGGGGGGAAGAAATGAGGAACCTTTGTAATAATATGAACAATAAAGATTGATTTAAAAAAAAAAAATTTGCCTAGACTGGTTTGGCTCAGTGGATAGAGCGTCAGCCTGCAGACTGAAAGGTCCTGAGTTCAATTCTGGTCAAGGGCATGTACCTTGGCTACAGGCACATCCCCGAGGCAGCTGATCAATGATTCTCTCTCATCAATGTTTCTAACTCTCTAGTCCTCTCTCTTCCTCTCTATAAAAAAATCAATAAGATATATTTTTTTAAAATTTTAATCAAAATTTTATAAACTAGAACCAGTACAAATCATAAATTGGTCAGGGGTTGGGATAAACAATGTATGAACTGACACTGTATTAAATGTCCCTCCATATTTTTAGGTTGGATTCACCCTCAGTGGGGCTAGATATAATTAAAAGTGTCCCTCGATAAATATGTCTATCTTTTTAGTTTTCTTTAAAAATGTTTTTTATTTTATTTTATTGATTTCAGAGAGAAAAGGAGAGGGAGAGAGAAACATCAATGATGAGAATCATTGATTGGCTGCCTCCTGCACACGCCCTACTTGGGATCCTTGGGGAACCCCAGCATGTGCCCTGACTGGGAATCAAGCCATGACCTTCTGGTTCATAGAAAGAGGCTCAACCACTGAGCCACACCAGCCGGGCCTATACTTCATCTTTAATCAGATTTATAGTTAACTTGGAAACTGGAATCTCTGCCTGACTAGACTTACAGGAAGCCCCAGAACCCACCCACCTGCTCCAACAGCATAACAAGGAGCATCCACCCCTATTCCCGGTGTTCACCTCCTAAGAAGTGCCCTGCTTTGGACTTTACCTCCAATAGGGTAATGGCTCCGGTGAAATCTCTTTGTGAAAGCAGCTCCTCTAGTTTTGGCATCTTCCTGCCTTTCTTCTTCCTTTTGTCGGTGTGGGGCAGATCCCCACCCACAGCAGGTTTGGCCCTTGAGAGCATCTGTGAAAGAAACGACAGACAGCTGTTTGTGTGATCCGGTGATGGCGGTCAGTTTTAAACAGTGACAGCTCCAGCATTTACAAGCCAACTCCGTCGCAACGAACCCCAGAGAAGCCTGTGAGACTCTTTTTGGTAACAAGTGTTATTACTAAAAGGGCCATCGCCCTGTACGGTGCTGAACCAAAGAGCTACTCCCAACTTCTCCATCTTCTCCAATGAGGGTGCGGCAAGAGATGCTTTCTTGAAGCTTCTGTCCTCCCAGCTTTCCTTCCCTGGGTCTGCTTTCCATGCCACGCGCAGCTCAGGTGCCGGGAAGTAAGGAATCGGGAGGGAAGGAAGCACCGAGGCATTTACTGTCGCGTCCCGACCCCCCATGGGAGCACGGGGAAGGCAGCGTCCACCATCCTCTGTGGACATGTCTAGACGTTACCGACAGGGGACAGACAGGGTGTTGGGAACTTCGAAGCTCCAGCCCCGGGACCACTCAGAGTTCTCCCTCACTGGTCAGCGCCACTAACCATGTTGGCGGCGGTCCGGTGAGTCCCCTCCGCAGACAGACAGCACAGGCCGAGCCTCCGCGCTCCTCCGCATCCACAGCTCGCCCGGTCTCCACGGCAACCCCGCGGGGGGGGGGGGGTTGGTCCGTCGGAAAAGCGCTCCGAGGGGAACCGGCACCTTCAGCTTCTTGGTTCCTGCGCCTCCGCCGCCGCAGGACTGGAAGTTCCTCTCGGGACAAGATCCTCGTGTTGTTTTACTTCCTTTGTATTGAATTTTCGGGGTGACACTAACAAAAGTATACAGGTGTCTAGTGCACAATCATCTGTACACTGTATTGTGCTCACCACCCCAAGCCGAGAACCCTTCCATCACCATTTATTGCCCCCCGAAACCCTCCACCTCTCTCCACACCTCGCAATTACAACACTGTTGTCCGTGTCCACGAGGGTTTTTCCCCCTAATTTTTTCTCCATTCCCCACAGCTCAACTCGCCCCACCCGCCCCCAGCTGTCAGTCTGCTCTCTGTGCGTGACCCTCTACTTTGCTTGTTAGTTCATTTTGTTCTTCAGAGAGCGACGTTCTATCTCTATGAGTTTAGGAAAAAGCAAATTAGAATGGCATCGCTTTTCCAATACAAGTTTCCTGGGAAAGTAATTTCCAAGGACCACTTCCGACGACTGACCGCCTGGGGGCTCCATAGCAACCCCGCCGCTGTCTGGCACGTGATCTGGACCTCGGGCGGGGGATCAACGGGAAGGTTAGAAAAAAAAAAATTCTGCTGAACCGAGGAAGCTGACCTGTGGATCTGGGAGTTCTTCATAATACAGTTTCTTATTTGCATAGATACACCCTCACACAGTAGGTACTGCAATCAAAATGTGTCGGTTGGACGACTTACCTTACCCTGGACCCAGTTAACTCGGCTACCAGGGTAGCTAACCTGTGCAATGTTAGGGCTGGAAGAGGCCTTTACTGGACAGCTAGCTCCGCGCTCAGAATGAACAGGCTCAGGAACTAACATCTGGAGAAGTGAAGCAATTCTCCCCAGTGGACAGGTAGCAGTTGACTGAGCTACATACGCTCTGAATAACCAGCCCTATAGAGATTCAAGTATATACTAAGCTCGTAGAAGGCAGGCATGATTTCTTAAATACTATATATATATATATATATATATATATATATATATATATATATATATATATATTTAATTGATTTTTTTTTTTACAGAGAGGAAACGAGAGGGATAGAGAGCTAGAAACATCAATGAGAGAGAAACATCAACCAGCTACCTCCTGCACACCTCCTACCAGGGATGTGCGGGCAACCAAGGTACATGCCCTTGACCAGAATCAAACTTGGGACCCTTGAGTCCGCAGGCTGACACTCTAGTCACTGAGCCAAACCGATTTCGGCATGACTTCTTAAATTCTTTTTGCACCCTCCTTGACGCGGGGGGGGGGGGGGGGGGGGGGGGGGGGGGCCTGGGTTAGGCTGGGGCTGGAGCTGTCTTTGTTTAATTGGCTCAAGCAGTGATTGGTATCTGGGACCCATTTGTTGTCCAGTTTCAAAATAATATGAAGAGATGTCTAAATATTGAAAAACTTTTACATCTGTCTGGCAAACTATTAAATAAAGTGTGTTATCCTACCTTGACGATATAATATATATATATATGTGTGTGTGTAAATAAATAAATAAACACAAATGTTTAAAAAGACTTTCAGCCATGGTAGTTATATTTATTTAACAATCCCTTAGCTCCATGGTTTCTTCATACCTGGAGCAGGGTGTAGTCAGAGCCCAGATCCCCTCACAGCAGGATCCAAGGGAAGTATTGGCTGATGATGCTGTAAACAACCCTGTTGAACTTGCGAAATCTATTGAAATGACGTGTTTTTCAGCAGACTGAGATACCGCTTTAAGCCTCTAAATCCCTGTAGAGGCCATTTTGACCGTGGCTGTAATTACAAAGGGCAGAATATGGCATTCATTGAGTGTCCTTGAGAAAAAGCAGTTATTCCCAGCTACAGCTCTCACACTCACCCAGGTGTTATGAAACACATAACACAGAGGCACTAAAGCAAAGAGGCAAAGTTGGAACCAGCAACTCCATTGCAGTTGCAATAGAAGAGCAGTTTCTGAGTGATTGTAAAAAATAACCCAGCCCTGGCCCTGGCTGCTGGGCTTAGTTAGTTGAGCATCGAGAAATTGCCAGGTTGATTCCAGGTCAGGGCACATGCCTGGGTTGCAGGCTCTTTCCCCAGGGGCATGTTTCTCTCTCTCCCCCTTCCTCTCCCTCTAAAACCAATTAAAAAATACATTTAAAAAAATAATCCAGCTCTAAACTCAGCGTGGTGTTCCAGGCCACAAATGCAAGTCATGGTCACCGGCTCACCTAATACCTGTTACTGCGCTTGAGCCCTGGTGCACAGTGATGATGACTTTGCGTCCTTGGAATCAATTCCCTGGTATTCATCAGGATTGTGAGTGGCGTAAAGACTGTGAAAGATAGACAGTAAGTAGTTTTGGCATTTCTTGTTATGGATCCTCCTTAAGGAAAAAGTCTCATTGAAAGGAGAACCCTCAGAAACCGGTTTGGCTCAGTGGTAGAGCGTCGGTCTATGGACTGAAGGGTCCCAGGTTCGATTCCAGTCAGGGGCATGTACGTTGGTTGCGGGCACATCCCCGGTAGGGAGTGTGCAAGAGGCAGCTGGTCGATGTTTCTTTCTCATCAACATTTCTAGCTCTCTCTCTCTCTCTCTCCCTTCCTCTCTGTAAAAAATCAATAAAATATATTTTTTTAAAAAGAAGAAGAAAAGGAGAACCCTCCGCATTTCAACTAGAGCCACCGTAAGTCTGTTCATCAGCTCTGTTGAGTGCTGTTAGAATTTTCACTCTTTTTTAAAAATTACTAGATACTAGTGTTTTTATTGATTTCAGAGAGGAAGGGAGAGGGAGAGAAAGATAGAAACATCAATGATGAGAGAAAATCATTAATCAGCTTCCTCCTGCTCGCCCCACACTGGGGATCAAGCACACAATCCAGGCATATGCCCTGACCAAGATGTGAACTGTGACCTCCTGGTTCATAGGTCAATGCTCAACCACTGACCTACACGAGCAGATTTTCATTCTTTTATTCACTAGTTTCACAAATATTTTACCTTACCATAAAAAAGAATATTGGCCCTAGTTAGTTTGGCTCAGTGGATAGAGCATCGATCTGAGGACTAAAGGGTCCCAGGTTTGTTTCCGGTCAAGGACACATGCCCAGGTTGTAGGTTCGATCCCCTTAGCCTCAAGCAAGACGTGAACAGATGTGACACAGTGTTATGGGCTTTAGAGTCAGTAAGACCTGGATTAGAACCTTGCCTTCACCTCCCCCATCCCCACCCCATGCTAACCTCTCCAAGTTTTTGTTTTCTGAGGTAAGAAAGCCCATCTCACTGATATGCTTAAGACTCATCTGACATCATTTACAAGCAAGAGGCAGTATAATAGTAGAATGGTTAAGTGTGCAGCCTCTGGAGGTAGACTGCCTGGGTTCAGTTCTTGACTCTGTCACTTGTTTTAGCTGCGTAACTGGAGCAAGTCATTTAACCTCTCTGGGCCTTGATTTTCTCACCTGACAATAATAATAAAAGTACCTACCTCCTAGGTTCATTGGTTATGAAAGTGCACAGGAAGAAAAATTATTTTCTACCCAAATTCTGGCTGATATAGCAATCAAATTGACATGAGACAAATAACCAGGAGAAAATACATTAATTACATCTGTATATATGGAGGTTCCATAAGAAACTGGGACCTGAGGACAAAACAAGCAGTTATAGCTTATATGCTATCTTGAACTGTGTGGAAAGAGGGGTTGTGGTTTGGGACTTCAAAGAAAAGGAAATTGCCCTGGCCAACTAACTCAGCTTGTTAGAGCATTGTCCGGATGCACCAGGGTTTCAGTTCAATTTCCTGTCTGTTGGGGCACATAGGAAGCAACTAGTGTGTGAATGGGTGAATAGAACAACAAATTGATCTCTCTCGCCCCCCTTTCTCTCTCTCTGTAATCAATTTAAAAAATTTTAAATAACAAAAATAATGGGAGTAAAGCAATTCCCATGAACATAGAAAAGCAAATGTTTGGTAGACAAATATTTGTTGGGCCATCTTCAACAATGGACACGAGAGAGGACTTTGATCAGACTTGTTTTGTAAAGTTCTTCCCTGCCTGTTACACTTAGTTTATATTAAACTGTAGTTATCTGTAATGATATCTCCCTAGAAGAGGTACTCTATCTCAATTCTTTTAGGCAGTTAAGGGGAAAGTAGGTCAAAGCTTCTTCCTGAGTCTTTTGTTTCTTAAAAATAACCAGTTAACAGACACTGGTGGTGGTCATCTTTCTCAGGCAAACTTTTGCTACCCAGGTGGTTTTTGCATGGGGGGAAGGCATTTGACACATCTTATTGGAAAATCCCTTGCTCCACCCTGTGAAGTTTCTGAGGCCCATTAAGAGACTGAGAATAACAATTAACTCCCAGGTAGAAGCAATTGTCCCACCCCATTTGAAAACCTCTCACCACATCTGTGGATGATTGCCTGAGACTATTCTAGACTGAATCCAATCAATCTGCAGGCAGAGGCAGGTCTCTGGAGGTTTTTATCTAATTAGTCAGAAAGAGTAGTTTGTGTCTCCATGCACACACCATCCCAGACTGCTCTATGAGGCAACAGCCAGTGGGACCTCAAGAGCCTACAGCTGACACCTACAGGACCAGCTGCATGGAGGAAGGGAGCACAGTCAGAACAGGGACAAACAAGAAATAAGATTCAAGACACATCCAGCCTTTGGACTAAGGAGTCGTCAACCCCTGAACTATTAGGGAATTCTACCTCTTGGTCCTCAATCAGGTTGCCCAGGGTCAGTGACTCGCATTCACCTGCACTAGAGAACTCCCAGGAGGCCCAGGATAGACACAAGGGACCAGATTCAACAACATCAGAGCAAAATCCAGGGAGCCCCAAAGC